GATGCTGTAAACACTTACATGCTGACTGATCATCATCAACTGACTTATGAAATGAAGAGAAATGTCAGTAATTAGAAGTGAACTGATGTGTAGGAAAAAAAGAATGCTGAAAGATGTTACGATTAATTCTAATTTTAACAACAATTATATACAACGTATGGAGCTGTGAGTATATTGAGAGAACATGCTAGGAAAGGTCAGAGAAATCATAAATTATAACATTCACACATACGAGCTACAATCTTATAGGGTTCATTAAGGAGTGACGTCCATATAGTAAGGTATGGGAGGGGTCTTGGGTCTAGGACATAGATTAGAGGGTTCTGACTAAGACAAAAGTGTAGCTATATGAACAAGGACGAGGTTTGGGGGTTCTAAGAGTGAAAGAACCTAAGATGAGCTAGTTCGGACTACTATTAGCTTCAATAATTTACCAAAAAATTTAATATTCAGATGGACAGTACTTCCAATTGACCCCCTAAACACTATAGAAGAAATATTGTCTCGCTGTTTGGTATTGAACTATATGTCAGTTAAAAAGTTATTCATTTATTGTACACGAGAGAACAAAAATAACAAAAAATTATAACATGAACAAGCAGCATATTCATGGATTGTTAATTTTCTCGTTGAGGTGTGTAGAAGTATGTGTGTAAATAATAAAAATTCACTTTGTGTAAATACAACAATAGCAAAAAAAATAAAATAAAGTAAAATAAAAAAAATTGTATGAAGTAACGAATGAATGAGAAGGAAGGGAAGTAAGGAAGATAATAATAATAAGAAGTTGATGATGATGGTTCAGGCAAAAGGTAAGTAAAATTCCTGATCGTTATTTTTCACTTAAAGAATTTCATCTCTGCTCTTTTTGGAAGTGACGATAAAATGCAATAACAACATCTTCCTGTATCTTCTATTTTTAATGCCTCAAACACTTATGTCTGGAATTTCTCTAAATTAAATGATACATTAAAGATAGTTCTCGGGAATCAACCCCCATTCCATAAGCATTTTGACTCATCTCTCTTTCTAAGTTCTTATAGATTAAATTTATTTAAAAACTATTTTTAGAGAGGAAGAGCAAGAAAAAAAAGAAGTGTATGGAAGTGAAGAAGAAAAAAAGCCGGGCGACATAAAAATTTACGATGAAGAAATTTCATTCTCATTTGCTGGTCGATGACTAACGAAATATTCCCTTTTTAAAAACAAAAATCGACACTTATGCCTTTTAAATTGTGAATAATTAATGTTGAGGATAGGGAATAGATAGGAAGTGATTGATTGATGATGGATGAAATTTCTTTAAAGCGCTTTTCTGGTGATTTGTGGATTTAATTATGAAAATTCTGAAGAATTTGGTTTGAATGTTTTTAAAATAAATTTACAATTTTGTAGCTTTGTTTTCTTAATTTTTGTGGCTTATGTTTTCTTGGATATGGGGTTTGATATAGATTTAGTTCAATTCTTAATTAAGTAATAGTTGGTTCTTATTTATCTAAAAACATCAAGACTATAATAAAACAATTAAGAAACATAGTCTAGAACCTTAAACCTGAACACAAAAATTTTATCCAAAAACTAGAAATTCAAAGCAGATTTATTAAAACTAGTTAAGCATAAAATATCCCAAAAAATCAGCCATTAGTTGCCCTACCCATAAACCTGTTACATCACATCGATCACTCATTCCAATTCTCATAAAACACCAAAAAATGTTATTTAAACAAATAGCGATCACATAAAGTTTATGATCGTGCACCAACATAAAGCAACATAATTTTCCCGATTATTTATTCAGACGTAAAATCAACAAGGTGAGGTAGAAAAATTTTCAAAAAATTAAAATTTCTTAAAGCAAACAGAAGAAAATTTATTAATTGTGTTGACAAATGGACAAACTGATTTATAGCCCCAAGTGTATTCCCAAAATGGGACTTAAATGCTGAACCAAAATAATAAATTAGACAAATAAAGATTTAGTCAAATAACAGTGTATGAAATATTGTTTTTCAACAATTGAATAAACTTGCTTCCATGAAATCGATATACCAGCAGAAAAAAAAGAGTCTAACATGACGTGCGAGAATCACCTACTATATGCTGCAGTCAGTCAAATGTAAATATATTGCCTCTAGAGATACAATAAACTCTTTTCTACAACAACAAACAAACATAACTGAAATCCAATAAGGTCGCCCACTCAATATTCCACATCCCCCTCATTGTCCCCGGTGTGCCTTATTTCTCTGTGCTTTTTAAAAGCAAAGTATTGTAATAAGAAAATTAGTGTTTCATCTAAAATAAACGCAATATTTTCTCTTTTTATGGTCGATTCTTTTTAAAAGTCGTTTTTGGTTTAAAGAAAAGATTCCTAATTTATCTATCTCCATACTGTATTTTTTGGAGCTTGTTCTTTTAGTGGAATGTTGCTAATGTATGGCATTTGGCAGTCTGTCTATCCGACTGTCTGATTCAAACCAATTATTATTGTCGCATGGATAAGTTCTCAACGTTAACTTAGAAAAGAATTGCTGATAAAGACAATCAAGAAATTAAACTTATTAGAATAGAAAGCTGCTTCAAATTACTCCAAAGAATGCCAAGTGATCAAAACTAACCTAGTCAAAATGATCTTAATCTACTTTAGTTAAAGAAGCTAGTAAGTTTATCAAAAAACCAAATCTTTCTCAAATTCTGAACTTCTAGAAATGCGTCTTCAACTCAAATCTTCCCGATCCTCATCACTGACTTCCCTCTTGTTGCTTATTTTTTAAAGAAATCTCTTTTATATGCTTCCCGAAGCATTAATGTACATACATATCGCGTCTTTTATGTTCAACCTTTTTAAGTGTCTTGAACGCAATGTAAAGAAAAGAAAGAAAATTGTTTCAAAAAAAAAATAAAGTCAGAGATTTCTTTACAAGATTAAGAATGGATTTCTGCTTTGGTAGTGAGAGGAGCGGATCAAGGGAGAAGATAGATAATCTAAGTAGCAGTACATTAAGTTTTTGCAATTGAATGCATACGCCCCATTTTTCTACTATAATTTTCTATGCTTTTTGTTTCACGAAGTTCAAGAATTTCAATTAAAAGTCTTGCTTTAAAATTCCGTTGAGCATCTGTTTCTTCTATGCCTTTTGTGTTAATTCACACTTGCTCTCTTCATAGACAATGATTGATTGATGTGATTTAAGATAAAAAAACTATTTTTTTGCAGCAACAGCAGCTGAAGTCAGTGTTGTTATATAGTTGAGGTCTTGGTAGAGGCTTAACCTAGCTCCGATCAGAAGTAAGATAGATATAGGTTATACCATAGCCGAAGCTAGTACTCTAGTAAGAGCTAGGATAAAACCCTGTATGAGCTAGGTAATGGACTAGTTAAATTCTGAGTTGGGTGTAACCTAAGTAAGCACCAGATTCAGCCTAACCCGATTAGATCTAGATTAATTCAAGTCTTTGTCTATGATCTACATCTTGCCTTCACACCTATTTTAACAACACTGCCAACAGATCTTTTCTAAGAATTTTTAAATTCAAAAAATTATACACTTACGGACTACAACAAGCTTTGCATCATACGATTCATCCTCAACTTTATTATTAATAATTGTAAGACGATGCTTTATTCGTGACGATCGTTCACTGACTATCTCCAATTCTCGATTTAATTCCGAAAATATTTCCTTCGATAATGCCAGTAATGATGCCAATTGTCGCATTGCATTACTTAGGGTTACATTTGTAATTTCTTCCAATTCATTATCCCTTAGCGGTGCGGACGATGCTTGCACATATTTCTTACTTGCAGCTGATCGTCTCGATATGAATTTTGGTTCTATTTGCCGTTTCACAAATGGCATTTTAAATAATAATTTTTTTTAACACTTTTGATATACACTTTTAAGGCATTGATCACTATCAAATTATTCTCGTATAAATGCACACTCAAGGCCGGCTTTAACAACAAATTAATAATCGCACCACAAAAACAGATATTTTTTTTATTCCTCTATTTTCTTCTCATATATATTTTATTTTATTTTTTTGTCAACACTCACATGTACACGACACGAAAGAAATCAGGCACGTCTGTACTCTCCCGAAACGATTCTTTGAATGAATGAGCGAGTCATTGTAAGTAGAGAAATGTGTAATATTTTGGTCTGTTGGAGAAGTGAGTATGCATGTCTCACACACACATTGATGTGGGGTGTATTAGCTGTCTGCCCAAGGTAGTTGCACTGCTACCGGTTTTTTGGTGAATATTCGGGTATTTTAAGGATTCTTGAGTCTAAAAGTGATGTTTACTCTTATATATTCAAAGTTTATGCTCTATAGACTTAGAATCAATATTTAAGCAAGATCGACTAAGTTAAATTATTGTGCTAGCTACTTGATCTTTTGTTTATTTGGTCTGGATGTTCATATTCGAGTTTAAATGACCTTATAAAGAGTTTTCAATCTAAGTTTTCAGTTCCAGGATTAGTTGTTCATCTGACAATCTCAAATCATTTTGCATTCCTTAATTAACATCCAGTAATCATTCATTTTGGGAAGATTTCGTTACCAATTCAAAAAAAATTGCATTTGTGTTGGTTCTTTCAACAATTTCCAAGATTCCCAATCAGATGTCGCTTCAATCTTCAAGAATCAAGTGAAACCTTTCAATTATTAATGAAAATAAGATCTTTGGGGTGCATTATTAGACAAAATATTGAATGACTTGTAAGAAAAGCTGGAAAATTCAAAAGAAAATTGCAATTACAAAAAGGTGCAACATGATCCGGTCTTAAGGGCTTCTTCTTTATATCCATTTTTGACTATTTAATTACATCGATATTGAATGAATCATATATGTTGATGAAAACATGCACAATTTGAATGAAAACGTGATTGCTAATGCAAATAAACAAAACTATTGGAATGAGCTAGATGCAAATTACAATTTCTAAGAATTTCACTATTTGAAACTTTTGTGTAATGACATTCCTGACTCTTTTAAAAGAGTAAGATACTCATTTTCTGTTCAGTACGGCATATAAACAACAACTTATCGGACTATGAAATTTCATCCAAAAAATATTTTTAATATTTCTGACATAAAGAAGAGTGTTCTTAAGTATGGATTAGTTGTACTTAACAGACCAATTCTTCTACATAAAGAACTTGTTAAAGTTTTGTGGAATCATTGTAAGTAAATCCATTAATTTAATACTTTTACTATTCATTTTTTACATTTGTAAAACCATACCAATCCAAATTTCTAATCTAGATACTTAGTCATAGATTAGATTTGATTGTATGATTTTTATTGACCAAATTCATTTGCAGAATTACGGTGCATTTGATGCAATTTCTAGTTGGAAAGCCCATAAACATTTGTTATGTTTGAAACAGTGTTGAAATCTGCCTATACTTCTGCAAAAAGACACTTTCTATATGAAGAATTTATCATCTGCAGATTTCTGTCTGCATGTAGATTAAAAAAAGTATCTACATGAAGAATCTATCTTCCAAAGAATTCTGTCTTCCACAGATTTCTGTCTGCATGTAGATCAAAAAAAGTGTCTACATGCAGAATCTATCTTCCAAAGAATTCTGTCTTCCACAGATTTCTGTCTGCATGTAGATCAAAAAAAGTGTCTACATGCAGATTCTGTCTTCCAAAGATTTCTGTCTTCCACAGGGTTTGTCTGCATGCAGATTATTATATTTTGATATTTAATAAATATTTTTAAATCAAAAACACATAGAAAGATTTAGGATACAAAATAAAACAACGAAATTAATTTTGCAAATTAATGTGGATTCCTCTGACAAGTCTCTTTTATAAAAAAATGATCAAACATTTACGGGCTTTTAAAATTAATAAATAGGGTTTTTTCATTTAGATTTTCTCGTTGTCAGAAAAATGCTTAATAATAGCATAAATACACTGAGTTACGCTTTTTATTAAGTATTCGATACGCCAATAAAACGATAGAACTGAGAAAACGTAGAAGGCTACGATGTCTGGTTGCTTCTATCTCAATCAATAAGCTACCTTTTTGAAATAAGTTTCAAAAATGCACTAAAAATGGATATTTTCAGTAACATACACACAATTTATCCACATTCACAAAATCACCATTCGCCACATTTGTCATCAGATTCATGAAAAGAAAAAAATATTTTGAATTAGTGTTTTATATTTGATTAAAATTAAGCTTCTCTGTCAGTCCAATTCGTACATTTTTACGAACTCTGTAAACCGTTACCTACAAATTGTAAGAAAATATTTGCATTTCGAGGTAATCGGGAAAATTTGAAAATGATTTGACCGTTAAAAGTACTTATTATTGTAAATTTATTGTAAAACCACACTTTTTCATTAAAATATAATAATCTGCATGCAGACAAACCCTGTGGAAGACAGAAATCTTTGGAAGACAGAATCTGCATGTAGACACTTTTTTTTAACCTACATGCAGACAGAACCCTGTGGAAGACAGAATTCTTTGGAAGACAGATTCTGCATGTAGACACTTTTTTTGATCTACATGCAGACAGAAATCTGTGGAAGACAGAATTCTTTGGAAGACAGATTCTGCATGTAGACACTTTTTTTAATCTACATGCAGACAGAAATCTGTAGAAGATAAATTCTTCATAAAGATAAAATCTTTTAAAGATTCTGTAGTCTTTGTCTATGGAAGACGTCTGTCATTTCAACACTGGTTTGAAATTGGAATACAGGGTAATTCCATGAGTAATGAGAACTGTGAAAAAGCACTATACAATATTTCTCTACTTGTAAAAATTCAAATTTCCCAAAACCGTTATAATTTCTTAACGTTTTGTTGTTTTTACAAGTGAATTAGCCGCAATATCATCAAAGAGAGATGGTACAAATATATATGATCTTTAATGTTTTGAAACTTGAGTTACTTGCTCCATTAAATCAAATAAATCTAATAAACTTACAAGTAAAATCAAGAAAGTCTAACGGTTTTTGTGAATTTGAAATTTTTTCAGTGTTCTGTTTTGCAATAATCGGTCAAAAATTGACCGATTAATGCTAGTGTTTTTGGTTTTTCTTCTTAATTACAGCATTAAGGAATGCAAATTATACATAAAACAAAAGCCTGGCTAATATCTAATATGTTAAAAGTAACTTTGGAACATAGAAGTGTGTATTTAAGTAAATATTAGGAAATGTTTAGAAAACGATTTTTCGAAAACTTGACCGATTAATTTTACTTTTATTAAAAAAATAAAAATTAGACATATTTCTGATGTGAAATTCTCACATATGGAGATAAATATTGTGTTAATAAACATAATAAAGTTACAATTTGGAGTACAAAGTTCTTAGTTAAGGAAATATTTTTGAAAAATTGGTGCAACAAAATTTTTTTCACTCATGGAATTACCCTACACTATTTTGTTAATTGATATGCAAAAGTTGAAGGAGTTGTTTGTTTGTTTGATGACATCACTCAATCCTAATTTAAAGCTGCTTTCATGACATGGGATCGTTGGGATCGTGAGTCAAAACCCTTCTCCCATTAAAAAACGTACAATATTTTAGCGTATTTTCTGACTACATTCTCAGCATAACTTTAACAGTGAAAGTTCAATGGACTTGAAATTTGTCTAAGTTGCAGCTTTTGCCAATCACACTAAGGGGCCGTTCACTTATTACGTTACGCAAGCAAACGACTTTTTTCACACAACCTCTCCCCCCCTTGTTACAATATGTTACAACTTACATCCCCCCCCCCCCCCCCCCGGACGTTCATAATTTATTTTATTTTGATAATTTTTTATTCTAAAAAGACGGTTAAATTTCTTTTGTATTTTTTTTTTCTTAAACATCAAAACACTGTCCAGCTAAATAGGTCATGTTTTGATTGATACTGTTAGTATTCTCATGAATTATTGGATTGAGATATAAAGCAAAAATTTGTTTTTTTTTTTGAAGAAAATTCAAAAATGTCATGAAAAACATTATGCCCGATCGAATTTTGGAAAATTCAATCAACTTTAAATGTAAATATCACAATGATGGGATCATATTAATCATCATATGAATGACAGATTTAGAGAGATTTACTTTTAAACTTATGATTGATTTAATTTTTAAAATTTCCACAAATTATGATTGCATTTTAAAGTCTTGTAAACCAGTTTTCTATTGATTTGTTACTTTATATAACAAAAACTATGTTTTGCTTAGCTATCAAAAGAGATCTAGACATTTATAAATCATTAAAAAGGTGGAAAATTTAAAAAATGTTTTTGGTGTGGACAGTTACAACGTTACATACTTCTTGTCACCCCCCCCCCCCCCCCCCCCCCCCCCCCCTTCCCCTTATGTTACATTTGGTTACAATTTTTCAACGCCCCATCCCCCTAAAATGCGAACGTAATAAGTGAACGGCCCCTAAACTCAATCTTCTTTTCATCCTCAGCATCTATTAATATCACAGTCGATGGAGGAACTAATCGTTGGCTTTCATGGATAATTGAAAATGAATTAGAAGAAAAGATGAAGCCACCGTGCTTTATAACAGGAGACATGGACTCTTGTCATTCAGAAACATTAAAATATTTCAATAAGACAAAAGTCATAAGCACACCTGATCAAGATGCCACAGATTTTACAAAAGCACTTAATGTCCTGGATTCCTTCGTTAATAAACTCGAATTGTCACACATTGTCGTTATTTGTGAGACTTCAGGACGATTTGATCAAATCATCGCCAATATCAACACACTGTTTGAGAACAATCAGAAACCTAAAGAAATAGTCCGTCCTGTTTATATTTTAACCTCTAATAGTGTCACATGGCTACTTCCACCAACATCCATCAATTCAATGCATGAAATTCACATTCCTATTAATGTTAAGAACCAATGGTGCTCTCTTATTCCTATTGCCAATTCAGCTATCGTGACAACGAGTGGACTAAAGTGGAATTTAGATCATAATAAAATGGAGTTTGGTGGGATTGTAAGCACAAGTAATAAGTATGATGATCAATTAGATGTTGTTAAAATAGCCACAGACTCGATATTAATTTGGTCGATGGGAGTTCAGAATGAAGACTAAACTCGAATTAGGAATTGACAAAGGAATCAAAAGAATTGATTTTTGGATTGTCTTGGATTATATTTTCTAGAGGTGATCAATCTATATTGTACCTCATATCATGATAATTGTAATTTGACTACTACAAAGGCATGTAATGTCTCCTTTCGTCCAAAAACTATTAGTACTACTTATTAGAAAAACATCAGTGATCTCTGTAGACTATAATGATGAATGGCAGTTTTATAGCAAGTCCTCAATTTTAGCAAATGATTTTGGAACTGGAAATTGAACTGTATAGAATTTTTTGAAAACTGATAATTTTGAACAGAGTTTGAATTTTTGAAAACCGTTAATTTTGAACTGAATTTGAATTTTTGAAAAACGTTAACTTTGAACTGAATTTGAATTTTTGAAAACCGTTAATTTTGAACTGAATTTGAATTTTTGAAAACCGTTAATTTTGAACTGAATTTGAATTTTTGAAAAACGTTAACTTTGAATTTGTAAGTTTTTCTGTAAATTTTCAAATCAACTCCTCGTCAAATAAAAACTCAAAAGCATATATTTTTTGATCATATAATTTATATATTTTTATTACGATGAACTTTTTGCTTATTTTTTTTCATAATTTGAAATTTTTTAAAAATAAAGATAATTGGATTAGATAGCAAAAAGAGAAAAAATATAAGAATCTCGACTAATAAAAAACAACTCGAGAGTGCAAATTTTTGTAGTTTTCTTTTCTCCTCCTTGTTATTCCTTTCAATTTTAACTAGATTAGCACTTTAAACATAAAAAATAAAATTATTAAGTCTGAAATTCACAAATTGTCTTGAAGAAATTGCAACAAATATGTTTCGTAATGCTTTGATGATTCTAAACTGCGTAGCGAGTGACGTTCCTCGGGATATATTTGAAGTGTGTATGGCTGCAATTTATGGAAACGAGACTCAAGGTCAATCAAAAAATAATAATAATAAAATATTTCGTACCTTATTAGCTCTTATCAAGTGTTTTATTAATTCCGATGTGTGATAAAAGTGAACGTTCTCATCAATGAGACCATGAATAAGAAGCAGACGATTTGCTCTGTAGAATGTAAATATGCATTATTGTTTGTTTACCAAATTAGCCAAATAAATATGAACTTACTCGTCTGGGAATTTATGTACATAACTAAGCACCGAACCGGCAACGTAGCCGTCATAATTGTTTTCTGGCAAATCCATGTATCGCTCTGTGTACCCTGTATCGTATAAGTCCTGTGGAGGAAAAGAACAGAATGAATGGGATTAAAATAAATCCGATTTAAATTAATCTGGCTTAAAAAATGACCAAAACCAGCAAAAACTTACCCATGAAGTCACAGGAGCGCCAGCTATGGCAACTTTAAATAAATCAGGATATTGCACTAATCCCATCAAGCTTAAGTAACCGCCGTATGACCAACCTAAAGCAAACATTCATTAACAATCAATAAATCACAATAAAATCAACAAAATCTCACCATGAATAGCAACTCGATTCAAGTCAATGAAGCCCAACTGTTTCGAAAGTATCCGAAGTACTTCAACTTGATCAGCTAATTCTACTGTACCTAATCGTCGTCTAATGTGACTTTCAAACTGTAATTAAAAATAGAAAATAAATTATTAATATGCCATAAAGCACTTAATTAATAAATCAACTTTACCTGAACGCCTCGATGACGCGAACCGCGCGAATCAATACAAATGACACAATAACCTTGAGATGCAAGCATGTGCATTCGTAACTGTCTCATTCCTTTGAAGCTATTCGATACTGTCTGAACTTCTGGTCCTCCATAGACATTCAAAATTGTCGGATAAACCATGCCGGGCTTAAAATTATGTGGCTTAAAAACTAATGCATAAAGTGTCTCTCCCGATGATATTACAGGATTGCATATGATAGGCGTATATTCCGAATTATCGAAGTTTCCAATTGTTAAATATCCTAAATTAATTAACTCTATTCCGTCTACACTATTTTTCTCACAATTATTTTGAACACGTAAGACTTCTGATGATGGTAACTGATTCGTATTTGAATGCGTTCGGACTATAACGGTGCAGTCCTGGAATAAGATTAAGAATTTTGGGATTAAAATCATTTGGATTAATGTTAAATCCATCGGATTAAAGTTGAATTTATAAGATTAATGTTAAATTCAGCTGATTAAACCCCAAAAATTACATACCTCGTTAAATTCAATAGAATTAGTGGATCCAGGGGTAGTAAGAAGTCTTTTCTTGTCAGGCTGCAATAAACTAAAGACATAGAGATGCTTCTCCAACGGCGAATGTGCCAATCCCATGAAATAAATTAAATTTCGCTTCTTATCAACCCAAAGATTCTTTCCAAGCACTTCCCATTCGCCAGTTGACAACTGAATTTTCTTAACTATACGAGCTTTTAAATTATTGTCGGTAAAGTGTTCATCCTCGCCAAATGCTGAATGTGTCCGAATTCCATTTTGAACGGGTGTTTTGATATCTAATGATGATGTGATTAAATATAAATGCCTATATCCAGACTCTTCTGATGACCATATAAATTGAATATAGTTATCGCCAATATCAATAAAATAGAGCAGGTCATGGATGTTAATCCAATGATTTGAGCGTTCTGTATAAATGACTTGAATAGGTTTGTCAGGCTTATTCATAATACATTTCCATAAATGCTTATCATTTGAGCTATCTGGTGACGATGGATTGCTATTGTACGGCTCACAACAGAAATTTTCGATTGGTATGAGAATTAACTCGAGATATTGTTGCTGCCTATTGAGTAATTGTGCCCAAACATAATTTGAACAAGGCGTCCATCCAACTCTTGCAATATATTCTAAATATGGAAATAGGAAATTAAGTGGAGTTTGTAGTTCCTTAATGCTAACATCTGTGATTCTTAATGTCTCCGACAACCGAAATTCGACCATTTTTAAGGTACTTTTTGCATTGTCACATCCAGCTCGTGGAAATCGATATTCATCACCTCCATAGCAATTTGTGGTCGGAAAAGTAAATGTCTTTACATCACTTTCATCTACTTCCTCATAACAAATTCTGTAGATTCCATCATTTGATAATGGTTGCCACCAAAAACCTTGATATCTATTAAATTCTTCTTGCATGACATATGAAGGAACGCCAGCACTTATTGGATCATTCCTTTTGCCATTATGTGAGAATGTCAATCGTTGATCATGTCCACTAATTGAATGTGTGACATAAATATCATTTCCACAAACATAAGCGACCAAGTCTGAATTTGATGGACATATTTTTGGGTCTATTGGTGACCATTGAGATTGTGATGTCCGTAGTTCTGTGGGAAATAATGCTTGTGTCTAAAAAGAAAAGGTTGATGAGTAACCAGTTGAGTTGAGTCATGCATGTATAAGTGATCGACTTACATTGAAACCTGTATCTAAGCACATATACAACGAATTACATGCTTGAAAGATAATTTTTCCACTTTTTTGATGAAATTCATACGAATTAATACCGAGTGCCGGCAATCGCTTCCTCTCGAGCAACAATTGCAATTCTCGTGATGCTTTCATGGATGTCAAGTTTGTCCCAATGCTACCGTCTAAAACTGGCTTCCATTGAAGTCTATAAAAAATATTCATACATAAATTAATGGATTAATAAACTAGCTAGCTTGTAAACATATTATGTGACCTCATTTTTAATATTTGCGAATTTTTACTTCATTTTCATTTTCATTTTCGACAGACCTAATTTTATGAAGGACTGACTTTCACTTATTTTGATTCGTGGCTTAAAAATACTTACAGCTGTGTCTCGCTGTTTGATGTTGTCGAATTTATATCAACATACAGTAATGTGTCATATTTTGACTGTGCACATAGAAAATAGATTCTTAGACGTCCATCAGCTAATTCTCTGATCTGAATATTTGTAGGAATTGCACAAGAAAGTGACGAAAACTTCTTCCTTATATCATTCACAACTGTTTTTAACTCGTCCCATGACTTTTTATTACTAAAATTAATAATTTCCATCACTTGAGCCACAAACGTGTAGAAATTGCTTATAGTCGCGTTAATTTGTGTTGTTAAACTCACTGAATTGATATTAAGACTAAAAAAACTGATTGTTTGAAATATTAAAATTAAATTTTGAAGGCTTTTCAGTAAATATGCATAGACTTCAAGCTTCTTTAACGAATTAAGTGATAAATTAACTTCCGGAACTCGTGGTAATGTTGGCAGTGACGGAAGTGCTGGAAGATTTGGTAATCCAGGTAAACTATCTGATAATGATTTTAAATGATTTTTTACGTCAATATTCAAATAATCAAAATAATTAAAGTCAAATTCAATCTTTGGAACTTCTAGCAAATTTTTCCTGCAATAGAAACGTCTGTTAGCTTATTAATTACAGTATATCACGTTCACTTACATTTTAATATCTCATTTTCCGAGGAATTACGTTTTTTTTGCTCTTTTCTTTAAATTTTCCACTTTTGCGCTGATTTTGTTCTGAATTTTTTAAAAATAAAAATTTCAAATTTTTTAAATCTGTTATTTTTTTGAAATTCACATAATTTATTGAATAATAATGCACAATAACAAGACTATCTATGACTATTCCGTATTATTGTTTTCTTTTTAATGAGTAAACATTCCCATTCAGTATGTAGTATCAGTCAAAGAATGAATATTTTTTTTTTTGGAAGAGCTACAATGTTAAGAGTGATAAGCACAGGCTATTGATTTAAATATATGTGATATTATTGAGGTCTTTTGCGTCACATATTTCGCAAAGGGACTTTGTAATTTCATAAGAAACCGGTGATGTTTCCCAATATTTCCGTTATTGGAATGTGATTTCTAATCATGTTAAGGTCGGTTGACAACCAATTGTGGTCATTTTATTATTGTTCCATGATCATTAATTGGACATGCTGTTTTGTATAAAAATCAGGAACGTATTGAAGAGATTGATTGAATTGTTCGTATCAGGATTTAAACTTATATTCTTCAAAATTGTCTCAAAATTTCTAAAATTGCACTTCAACCTTACTCATGAGACATTTAAAACAATTACACATTCAATTCTCCTGATTCCCAGTTAAGACCATAACTGGAAGTTTTCTTTATCAGCGACCAAAACAAGCGTGCGCAAAAAAAATCATGGATTAAAATTCTTCCTAAATCAGACTATAAGAATTAGGACAAAGTTTCGATAAGATAGAACTGAAAGTCGTTGACTCATAGCAATTATTAAACTTGTTTACAATCTCTATTTTAGGCGATAAGGAATCAAAATAATAAATATTAGTCATGTGGTCAATTAAAATAAACAAATATAGAATTGTAAAGTTTGCACTTTTAATTTCCTATTCTGTGACCTGATTATGTCATTGTCAAGGCTCTTTGGGGCCGTTCACTTATTACGTAACGCAAAAAAACTCCTTTTACACCCCCCCCCCCCCCCTCGTAACAAAATTTGTATGAAAAAAAATTTCTTTTGTTTGAACCGTAACAAAATCTTAGACCCCCCTCCCCCTAAAAGCGTTACGTAATAAGTGAACGGCCCCTTTCTGTAATTTACTGTTTTGAAGTATTTTTTGAATTTTTAAAATTTAACGGATATTTTGAATTTGAATTTTTGAAATGAGCTGAAATTAAATTGAATTTACTGAACGAATGAGTTCAATTTATTTCAGTTTATTTTAAGACCCTTTGAAAAATAAAATTACTCACAATATTAAACTTGCTCTATATACATTAAGCGTACTAGTAAAACTGAAAGTCCAATAAGAATCTCAAATATTGTAAAAATCCCGCGTAAAACAAATCAATCTTTTAACGGTTGAAATAAATTCAAAAAACAGTGCAACTTTAATTCAGGGGTTTTCGATTTGAAAACATATGATTTACAAAGGATTTTCTGGAACACCCACAACTATTTAAGTCAAGGACCCTTGTATTATTATTGAAAATTATAATTATTTATTGATTTAAAGAATGTCGAAGACACAAATAAGTTTAGAGAACTTTTTCATATTTAACTCATCATTTGGACCAAATGAAGGCGAGGTAAGGCACAACATTCCCCAACAGACATCTAAAACCTTAATTAAATCATCAAAACTTTCAGGAAGAGAAGAAAATTTTATTATTTCATCCAGAAATCGAGAAGAATGAAAAATTAAAGAACATTGGATATATAGAGGCTTTAGTCAAATTCACTGGATCATTTACACTGGAACCGACATCAAATCGAGATGTAATGACAATGAAAACCAAAAAATTTACAAAGTTTTTCTTTGAGCCGGAACCGAACTTTTGGATTGTAATGACTATAAAGAATCCAAAAGAACAAAAGACTAAAGATAACAGAGAATATACAGAGTATTTTACAGATGATGTACATAATGATGTATTTTCAAAGATACTACAACGATGCTATCTTAATTTTCGTTTATTCTGCAATACATTCGAGCATAACATGATAGGAACAGATGAGGAATCACAAGTTGATCATTTAAGGATGAAACTTGATAACTTCTTCATGAAATATCTAGTAACATTAAACCTTAAGAATTGTGACATCTTTGACTTGATACAGAGCATCCAATATAAAGCAGTTAGTCATCTGACATTCTTTAAAATAGTCAATCTTATCAACATGCTTATATCCATTAAAAACCTCAAGATTAAAAAATGTATATTCCTCTACAATCAAGAAGTTGTATATAGTTCAATTAGCCCCGACGATTTATTTATTATCAATGAATATATGATGGAATCGCTCTTTCCTAAATACTTCCGACTAAAGAGCAATCAAGGACTGGATAGTGACAGGAGTGTTGGTGGATTTGTGACTGAAAATGAGACAGAAACTCCACAAAATGCTCCTAAAGTATACCTTTATGGTGATGGAAAGGGAAGATTTGAGTGTGAGACGTTCCGTATGGTTTTATATAATATTATGGATGTATCTTTGGTGATGCTGGTTGAAGGTAAGCTTTACTATCTGAATCATGAATCTATAGATTAAAATGAATCCATCAGATTAGAGTTAAATCCATTGGATTAAAATTAAATTATAAATAAATGGATTTAAAATAGAACTAAGCTAAATTCATCGATTACAACTTTTCTCATACCATCAAACAATCGCCGCTCTAATTAACTTCCTCATACTTATTACTGTACTTTCTTTTTTTTTCACTTATTTATAGATGACGACGATGCTATAAATGACGAGTTCTACAATGAAATTAAATACTCGATTGGTCCACAACTTGGGCTGATTTCGAAGGAGATTTCAGATAATATAATACAAATCCAGCAAAATGTAACAAAGAGTCAGACTGAAGAAAGTGCTAAGAACTTTATATACTGTAATCATCGGAATTATCGCTTTCATGCCTGCTTTAATGAGAACAACACTGAAATTACTTTAAGTAACCGTGAAGGAAAGAAAAGTTCACAATTGTCATTATCGATAATGAATTTGCTGAGTGATTTATATAGTAAGGACATGACTGATGAGCTGATAGATAGCGAACGAGAGACAATCATTAAGACATTTAATGACTATTGGATTGTTAAAAAATACTTTAATTATCGTTCATTGTATTTAATTATTCATAAGAACTCAACGCTCATTGATGTAGCAGAAGAGTCATCGAAGCTGCTATCAGAAATTGTTAAAAATGTCTATTTTACGAATTAATCGTGGATTTAAACAATAAAAAGTTTATTTAAAATTGCAAATTGTTTTAACGCTTTTTTGAGATTTGAATTCTTTCATTCCATTCACAAATTTTCTATTAAAAGAATTTTTGTGAATTTTTGAAAATTATTTAATTAACTAGTAAGGAACATTCTGAGGGCTTTCAAACCTATTATAATCAATTCATACGTTTTAGATTTATCATAATTATGTAATAGTCAATCAGTTAATAGCCAGAAAAAGCATTTTTCACAAATAATTTTTTTTGCAGAAATTTAACCTAAATTCATTAAATCGTGAAAAGAAGTAGAATAAAGGAAGTAAGTCATGCCATCCGATTCCAAGAAACGTGAACAACAGCGTAAGAAGGATGCTAGAAGCAAGAAAGTTGAAACGAAAAAAGATGATAAACAGGTCAATGGAAATGGAAAAGTTGAACTTACAGCTGAGGAAATCCTTTGTCAACAATTAGAGGAAGAGGCTAGATTATCAGCAAATGCACGATCAGCAACTGGAAATCAAGCTAATCATCGATTGGCAAGAGATGTTAAAATAGAAAATTTCTCAATTACATTTTATGGTCACGAAATTCTACTTGACACGAATCTTGAGTTGAATTGTGGTAGACGTTATGGCTTGTTGGGAAGTAATGGATGTGGAAAGAGTACTATGTTGAGTGTTTTAGGAGCTCGTGAAGTGCCTATACAAGATTTTATTGATATTTTCCTGTTGTCGCGCGAAGTTGCTGCTAGTTCCAAAACGGCTTTAGAAATGGTTATGGAAGTTGATCAGGAACGTATTGCATTGGAGAAATTAGCTGAGGAACTTAGTTTGAATGATGACGAAGAATCTCAGGAGCAATTAATGGGTAAATTATTTTTTATAGTACTGTGGGTCCCCGGTTTGAGTAGGATTTTTCTGGAACCAAACACCTACTCAAATAAAGAACCCCCAGTATTTAATGTTTTATATATTAAGCTATAATCCTTATTAATTAGACATTTACGACCGTCTTGATGACATGCAATCGGACTTGGCTGAGGTACGAGCTTCTCGTATCCTTTACGGTTTAGGATTTGACAAGGGAATGCAAACTAAGCAGGTTAAAGACTTTTCTGGAGGCTGGCGTATGAGAATCGCATTAGCTAGAGCTCTCTATGTTAAACCGCATTTACTGCTTCTGGATGATCCGACTAATCATCTTGATTTGGATGCTTGTGTATGGTTAGAAGAGGAATTGAAGAATTATAAGAGAATTTTAGTTCTTATTTCCCATTCTCAAGATTTTTTGAATGGTGTTTGCACAAAGTAAGTGAATTATTTACATAATAACAAGCTTATGCTTACAATAATCATGTCTATTTCAGCATTATTCACATGACAAAGAAGCGCTTACAATACTATACTGGAAATTACGATTCATTTGTCAAGACTCGACTGGAACTTCTTACAAATCAAGCGAAACAATATAATTGGGAGCAAGATCAAATTGCACATATGAAGCAGTATATTGCTCGGTTCGGTAAAGGTTCTAATGCTAAACAGGCACAATCGAAGGAAAAAGTTTTGGCTAAGATGGTAGCTTCTGGATTGACTGAACGGGCTGTAGAAGAGAAAATGCTCAACTTCTATTTCCCATCCTGTCAAAAGCTCCCTCCTCCAATTATTATGTAAGATATTTTAACTGTCAAATTTTGTTACCTATTTATATTAATTTTATGCTTTACCATTTCAGGGTTCAAAATGTTTCATTTCGTTATAATGATAAGACTCCTTATATCTACAAGGATTTAGAGTTCGGTATTGATCTAGAATCACGTTTAGCGTTAGTAGGTCCAAATGGTGCTGGAAAATCAACTTTGTTGAAACTTTTATGCCAAGAAATCGTCCCAACATCTGGTATGATTAGATGCAATGCTCATTTGAAAATTGCTAAGTAAGTTATACTTTAATTTCTCTTATTCGTGCCTTAATGATAATCTTTTCACCTTTTAGATATAATCAGCATCTACATGAGTTACTTGATATGGAAATTAGCCCTTTAGATTATATGTTGAAGTCGTTCCCAGAAGTTAAAGAAAGAGAAGAAATGAGAAAGATTATTGGACGTTATGGATTGTCAGGAAGACAACAAGTTTGTCCAATTAGGCAGCTTTCAGACGGTCAACGTTGTCGTTTAGTATTCGCATATTTAGCTTCACAATCGCCCCATTTACTGTTATTTGACGAACCTTCCAACGGCTTAGATATGGAAACTATTGATGCTCTGGCTGAAGCTATTAATGAATTCGAGGGTGGAATGGTTCTGGTTTCTCACGATTTCCGTCTTATCAACCAGGTATGTAATTTTGATTTCATTTTTAAAGGTTTTTTCAAATTCAAATTTTAACGGTTTTCAAAAATTTGTAAATAACACTTGAAATTTGAATTTTTGAAAGCCGTTGAACTTTAAATATTAAATAATCCTTAAGAATTTAAACAATTGCGAATGAATTTTTTAACAAAAAATATATATAATCAACAGGTTGTTAATGACATTTGGATATGCGAGAAGCAAACAGTTACGAAATGGGACGGAACAATTATGGACTACAAAGAGCATCTTAAGAAGAACATGGCAAAAGAAGCTCGATAAATTAATGATGGATGAACGTTGTTAAATTCTGCTCTGAATTACTTTTTTTTTCATACTTTCCCTTAAAATGATTTTGTTTTGAATGTAAGATGTCACATACCAAGATCTAATAGCTGAAATATTATTATAGAAATAGCCACAATGCACCACTAAATGAACTACTATCTTCGTATAATAGCATAAAAGTCTTATGTTCAAAAGTGAAAATAATTATTTTTAAACTCTTAAAAAAACTTCACATTCAACCGCATAAATGTGATGTAATATTATTAAGTAAATAACGAATACAGCATTACATTAATTTAAAAATATGTAATTAATATATTTAAATTATATTTTTAACTATCTGTCACATTTTTTTCTAAATAATCTTTTTTAATTATGAACATCAAGTAATATTTAGCCCGAATGAATTTCCTTACATCCTGAACTAATTCCAGTTAATTCTGAAATAAAGAAAACTTATTTTCTTTTTTGCAGGCTGCAAAATTTTATGTCTTCTATTTTGTTAAATTCATTTTCAGTTTTAACGAATTTGAAAATTCAACGTATCAAACGTTCAAACTTTTTATGTCACATTTTCATGGTATATGTAAATCTCATTCATTAAAATTATTAATTAATCAAGATATAGTTGAATTAAAGCCATATTCAGGCTGGTGTCAAAATAAGACTCAAAGAATTGTAACTTAAACTACAATAATTCCAAATTTGAAATAAAGAAAGATTCAATTTTGGGATTTGAATCAGAGTTGCGAAACAGACCACCTGTGACAGGTGAGAACCGTTCAATTCCTTGATAATTTGTATGGTTTTGTAAGAAAAACCTTATAAATTATCAAGGAATTGTAGGGTTCTCACCTGTCACAGGTGCCTATTTCGCAACTCTGATTTGAATTTTTAACGAATTAAAGTATTACGAAATTGCAAATCTATAACGGTTTTCAAAAATTTAAATAATAAAGCTGTTGTATGGCTCTGAAGTTGGGATTTTTGAAGACTTAAATTTCAAATCAAAAAGCCGTTAAAATTTTATTTCGCTATTTTCGTAAACACAATTCGATCGGTGATGTTGAAAAGCAGTATGACTTGATCAACAACTTTAAGCTTTTCAAAAGCACAACATTGAAGCTTTCTCACCCCATAAAAAGCAGTAATTAGTACTAAAATGATAGCTTGATAGTAGAAACTTCTCAGAGTGACCAAAAAGAGAAAATCAAAATTTCTCATAAACCCACGATAATAGCTTCATATCACAGCGCATTACGCTCATCAAAAAAACATTCATACATAAATAAACAGCTAAACATTTCTCTCGCGGAGTAAGTCAGCAAGTCTCGTGAGATATTTTGTCATGCTTTTGCATTTTGAGTAGCATGAGCTTCAAACTTTATTTCAGTTTTATTTTGAAGTCAATGTGATAAAGACATAAAAAAAATCGGAACCGAAAATAGTTTTTTAAAAATCGTTCCAGGTATTTAAGAAAAATTAAAATTTTTATAGCTGTGCCTTAATACAGAATTTAACGGTGTGCAAAAAATTCTCGAAACTGAATAAGTCATGTGGAAGTAGCTAATAAAGAATTTTTGTGGATTTAATTGATGAATCTTAAGTCTTCTTAATTGAAAGATTTAAGATAATTTCCTTTAATTAATTCGTGACCATGCAAAGTGGAAATTTGTAATCAGCAAGACTCATAAAAGTCAAGAATGCCGTTACAATGTAATAAATCTAAACGTAGTGAGTGATATAAATTGATAAAGGACGTTAGGAAGGTTAAAGTGTAATCTCATTGTTATAATAATTTAGATCAAGCATAATCCGACTGCAACCCAGCTTTCATAAATTGACACTTCAAAATATTGATAAATGCTTGTATTGTTGGAAACGCAGTTTTTAATCAATGTGAAATTTTAAGTCTTAATTTTAACTATTGAAACAGAAGATTCAAAAAGTATTTATAAAATAACAGTCGAAAAATATTTAAACGAGGTTCAAATTCATATTTTAAAAAATAACGGTTAAAAATCAGACAAAAAGTCGACATTGTCCTCAATTTCATTCAGAAAATGTTTCAAAAAACGCGTAGAAAAATGAATATCCATATACCCGACATACATAATCTCACGAAAATTGGACGAGACGAGATTTGTTTTTATTAGACAATCATGTTCGAGTACTAAATTGCAAAATTTATGTGCCACTAGTGTAGTGTAGAATAATTTACTCATTGTGATGTAACGAGTTTTGATTGTACTATGACTTTTTAATAGACATGCCAACCATAATTGTTCTTAAATATCAAAGTGAATGCTGGTAAACACCCTAAAATTATCGTACATTACCTTGAAGATATATTTTTGCACATCAGCAGCTTTAAATGGCTTATTTTGAATCTATTACACAAGACATCAAGCTTTGTTTAACATAAACTTTTGATTGTTTGAATAAAATTTCTTTGTTTTGAGGCTGTTTTGATCACGTTTTTTGCATTTTTTGAAGGCTTGGCAATTTGTAACGGATTTTTGGAATTTGAAATTTTTGTTTTCTTTACAAACTTTGTTGAAATGAAAATTCATAGAATTATGGGTTTAAATGGACTTTAATTATACTGTAATGTTGATTAAATGATAGCTGCTTATTTGTGCTTCATGACAAATCAATCAACGATCCACAAATTGTTGAATTCACTTCAAAATTTGAAAAATAAAAATTAACGTACTAGACTATTGAATTTGGTTTAAAAAGTACTAGATTTTTATTGAAAATTCAAAAATAAAAAGACTGTTAAAATCAAATTATCAATTTTCCAACTTAAAACTGCTTTAAACCGCCAAAATCACAAAATATCCAATCAAAACATATTCTCTTATGCAACACCATCCATTCTATTCAAAACACAACGTTGATTGCCAATGTCAATGAAAAAAAAATTCAATTTACCATTATTGTACATCAACAATCAGCATACATTTAAATTAAATATCAAATAGCTCTTGTGTCAAACAAATAAACCGACTGTATAGATTTTATCGTATAGAAATTATTTGCAACTCCCCGTTATTAAAACTCAAAACAGCTGAAAAAAATGCACACAAAAAAATAAAGAAATTAAAATGACAATCACACGTTCGAATACTTAAAATATTCTCACGATATTACTGCTGAAAAGCGTGATTTGACATAAAACTCGTGTGTTTTATAGCATCAACTAATCTTCTAATGAGCATCAAAGAATTTTTTTTGTCATCATTTCAATTTACTTTCTATCACATGAGCATGAGTTTTGTGGTGATCTTTTTGTTATTTGGCGGAACTAACAAACGGAGAACGATGACGATGAAAACTAGCTTTTTCAGATTGTCAACAAAATTATAAAGCAGTCATTACTGCATTATCAGGAAGTTGAGAATGGAATGAACAAAGCGCATTTTTTGAGGTGTGATTCTGGGGAATTGAGCACAATAAGCATTATTTTAAGAGTTTTTGTGGGATGTATGGAGATACCCACAGCAAATTTGACCACAAAATATTCAAATAGTAATGCTCATCATCATGTTCGTCACAGCCTTCAGAAAAAGACTCTAAAAACTGCACCCAAACTTAGTTTCAACACCACAAGACGCTGTTCATTAATAAGGTCGATTAAAATATGACGGTCCAAGATATCCTATCATTCTTTTGTGACAGGATGTTTTGAGAATGGTTTTGACAAGAATAAAACTTGACCTTGGCACACTAGTGTGTCATTAGATCCCATACTCGATTATTGCTTGTGATTTTCGTATCTTCCACATCATGTAGCTTTTAGGAGAGGGGTGGAATCTCTCAAAGGCTCCGTCGCCTCAAATACTTAACTAATCAGCAACCTACCACGACAAATCACATGCAGTAGCTACGAATGTGTCAAAAAAAGTTACACAATAAAAGCGAAATTTATATTTGTTGCTGTTTACTTAAAAGCTCTTAATAAGCAGTTTGTTTTTTTATTAACTGAAGATCACTGTGAATGGCTGTATTTTATTGTTCGTGATTTATTGACAGTTTTGGTAATTTTTGGAATGAAAGGACAAGTTCAGAGTAAATTTTGCATAATATGAATTTAAATGATGTAAATCATGTTTTTGATAAACAGATGAGATCAGTTGCTGACTTAGTGCTTGATGGTTAGATTTTTGATAGGATGTTAAGGAAGATTCAGTTGGACACAAAAGAATTTAAAAAGGAGATGTTTACTGCCTCCTTCCTCTTTCAATCTTAAGTTTTTAAAAATCTTGGTTCAGGTTAAAGAAAAGCAATAATCAGCTGTAGCTCAAACAAGAATTTCAATGCACAAATCTAAAATAACATCACTGCCGTTCAAAAAACACAAAGAAATTCAAAGGATAGCAACAAAAAGAAAGCATTGATAATGAGCACGCGAATGAATGAATTTCTGACAAAATTTATATAACTTGAAGTTCGGAAGAGCGAATTAATATGGGCGATTAAGATAAGGGGTCGTTTACTTATGACGTCCAACATTTAGGGGGGAGGGGGTCAAAATTTTATTTCTACATTGTGACAGAGGAGGGAGGGGTCAGGAAATTTGTGACATTCAATTTTTTAATCAGGAAATTATAATTTTTTTGTGTGTCTTCATTTGGATGTCACAAGGGGGGGGGGGGGGCGTGTACTGACATCTGTGACTATAAAAATTGGGTTTTTTATGGACGTCATAAGTGAACGTCCACTAAGATCTTGTATGAATACATTAACCGAATCATTGACTTCATTGCTGCTTCAAAAATGAGGAAAGAAATTGAAGTTTTGTGAAATTGGCTCTTGACTGAAGGAGACTAAAATTCTTGCCCATAACTTGATGAGGATTCATGCATTTAATGCTGATTCAAGGCTACTTTAAGAAGCTACATAAGGTCGTTAATATTTATTTTTATTATTGCTGTCAATCAGTCAAATTACAATTTTTGGTCAAAAAAAAGTCGACAATAATTTTTTTACTTTAAATTCCATTGAACTTTCTAACCCATTCTTCAATGTTCATTCATGACAATTTTAGCTCTCAACTTACGTTTTTTACCTCCAGCTTACACGCATATTTGAACTTTCAATTAACCATTATAAGAAGGCTATTGTCAATTTTACCTCAATTATTGTCAACAGAAAAAAAGATAAATAGAAAACAATCTGTGCGCTCTATGGCTTGGAACATTTCAATTAAGCTTTTTTGGTTGTTGACAAAAAAAATACTTTTTTTGGTCTGTTTGACTTTGTTGGGTTCCTATTTACTTAAATTGAATTTGGAATCTATGAAAAAATGGTGGATGAACAGCTTCCGATGGATGAATTGCTTTAATTAAGGAATTGGACAACATTCGATTAAACAACGAGTCACATTAAACATTAAAGTTCCTTAATTCGAAGTCTTGAACATCAACAAGTTGAGAATAATGATTGATCACTACTAAGGAACTTAAATACAGCTTTTCTAATCTTTTACATGCACAAAAAAGTCCAAATCTCAAAGTCTAAAGTCAATAAAAGATCCTTTCAAGTTTCTGTTAAGTCATGCATCCACTAAGTTCCAACAAAACATTCTAAAAAATTTTTTAAAGGCAATTTTAAATCCACAACCAGCATATCAATCTCTTTCAAGCTTCATTAGCCCGCTGTTTATATTTTATTTTTAATTTACTATGTAAAGCTGCAGCTAGTACTGAATGTCAACTGAAAAGCAAACATACATAAGACAATGACAATCAAGTTCAACATGAAGGCTCTTCCTCATGTGCAGAACTAATTTTTATTTTTCGCTGAATTTTTGCACTAAAATTTAATGTAGCTATTAATTGTAAAATTACAGCCGGGAACTAATTTATTATTTTATAGACAACATGTCAATAAGCTCAGTCAAAGATGAGAAGAAGAAATTATGGAAGGAAATGAATTTCAAAGAGAAATGCAAGCATATAAGGAACAGCATAACGATAGAGCCAATGCTGGCATGTTACATCATGCCTAGTGTCCTTGCGGGCTTAGCCACACAGAATCTCAATTTGGAGAAAGCATGTCGAGTGAATTTGAATTATAGTGATGTGATTTGTGATGCCTTATCAAATAGGGAAACAGCTAATTATACAGAAGAAGAGAGAGAAGTTCAGACGCTAGTGGCAGGGATGCAGGGATGGAAGACTGTGTTGCAGAGTTTAATGCCGTGCTTGTTGATTTTATTTTGGTGAGTTGATAGCTGCTAATGTTGATTATTGGACTATGAAAACTTATTTTGTTGGTTTATTAATAGGGGAAGTTGGAGTGATCGACATGGAAGGAGAAAGTAAGTATTTTGTTGATTTTTTGGATTAAGGTTTTTAAGTGCGCGTTATGGATATGAAATTCGTTTATGCGCATTATGGGAGTAAAATTACTGGGTGTAACTGCGCACTATATGAAGGAATTATTAATATGTTTTATACAGGTGAATACATTGGTGCGCATTGATGCCCGGTAATAACACCGACCCGGAATAACTTCACAACGCAGCTCCGGAATAAAATCGAAAATTTAAAATGCATAGAGCGGTAATAACTTCACGTATATAGCCTGAGTGAACTTATTCCGGCGTGGCGCAGGAATAACTTCACCTAAAAAATGTAGGTGAAGTTATTCTTGCACGATGTGGGAATAACTTCACTTATATGTGCCAAGTGAAATTATTCCTGCGCCACGTCGTAATAATTTCACAAATTTTTGTTCATCGACATTATTCCGTCTTGATGCAGGAATAACTTCACTTATAATTTCTATGTGAAGTTATTCCTGTTTTGTGTAATTACTTTTATGTTATTTTTTAAGGGTTTTTTATGATATATAATTAATTAAGTTCTTCAGTAATATGTTTTGAAGTTTGTTGCGGATTTTATTCTAATTTTATGTAAGACAAGATAGTTTCTTATATCTTCGAAATTATTTTGGAATATATGGAAAGTTCACCACTAATTCGTAATTACTTTGAATATCAATTAAAACTTTAATTAATTTTTCTGGAGTTATAGGCTCTTTTGCTGAAATATCTCTATTAGATATCAATCTTGTGATATTAACACATGTTTTTGCATCAAAAAGGCAGGCTTAAAAATCTCAATTGAGATTAAGAAGTGAGAAAAAAATCTCACCACAATGATTCAGATTCGGAAAAAATGTTCAAAAATTCCTTGTGCACAATATTTTTCCGACACATTAGAAAATTGAAAGTTTTTGTTAATTTCTCTTGATTTGAATCTTTTAACATCTTCTACATAATGTTTTTGTTCATTGCTCAAAAAATCAGTCCTTAATATAAATGATAAACATGTTTTTTTACCATAAGTTTGTAAAAGTGTATCATAAAATATTGTGCATGATCAAATTTTGTATGAAAATTTATGTAAACTTTGATCGCAAATATCTCGAAAACGGCATCAAACGGCATGTCCTCAGTAATATTGGAGATAGATTTAAGCTTAATTAATTGATTTATATAGGTTTCAGAGAGGTCTTTGGAAGACTTTTAACTTATGAATAGTTTAAGTTTTGTAAAAATACTCAGATTTCAATTCATTTTTAAGGCTTAATAAGCAGATTTCTATTGAGTTTGTTGTTTTAATATGTAAAGCTAAGCTTAAATTAGCTAGCAACTGCTTTCAAGACATCCAAATAACAACTTAAAGTAGAAAAAATCATATTTTTTTTTCATATACAAAATGTAAACAAATTTTTGTTGAAAATAAATTAAAGATTTCTGGAGTTAGACATCAAATTGAAACGAGATATTTTCACTGAATAAGCCTTAAGTTAAGATCTTAAATCTGGCATTTAAAAGATGTAGTTTAATTAATATGTCATTTTTGAATTTTTGAACATTTTTTCCGAATCTGAATCATTGAGCTCACGAGATTTGAAAACTCGCGAGATTTCAAATCAAGTTTTCTCTGAGAAAATTTTTCTCACGAGTTTTTTGGTGAGATTTCGAACACTAGATTTTACTTCTTTTGGTGCAAGCTATCCTTCTAATGGATTGAAAAAATGTATATTTTATCATTTCACCTGCTTCTAGTTTAATTAAACAAGGTAAAATTAGCTAATTGTGTAACTTTTTGAATTTTAATTTTGTATGGAAGCGCTCTTATGTTACCAATTGACACTGTTGACAAAAGTTTTGTTAATTTTAGCTATTAAATTCTCATCTAAAGCCTGCCTTTTTGATACAAAAACATGTGTTAATATCACAAGATTGATATCTAATAGAGATATTTCAGCAAAAGAGCCTATAACTCCAGAAAAATTAATTAAAGTTTTAATTGATATTCAAAGTAATTACGAATTAGTGGTGAACTTTCCATATATTCCAAAATAATTTCGAAGATATAAGAAACTATCTTGTCTTACATAAAATTAGAATAAAATCCGCAACAAACTTCAAAACATATTACTGAAGAACTTAATTAATTATATATCATAAAAAACCCTTAAAAAATAACATAAAAGTAATTACACAAAACAGGAATAACTTCACATAGAAATTATAAGCGAAGTTATTCCTGCATCAAGACGGAATAATGTCGATGAACAAAAATTTGTGAAATTATTACGACGTGGCGCAGGAATAATTTCACTTGGCACATATAAGTGAAGTTATTCCCACATCGTGCAAGAATAACTTCACCTACATTTTTTAGGTGAAGTTATTCCTGCGCCACGCCGGAATAAGTTCACTCAGGCTATATACGTGAAGTTATTACCGCTCTATGCATTTTAGATTTTCGACATTATTCCAAACTCACGATTTTCTCTACAAGTGAAGTTATTCCGCGTCGGTGTTATTACCGGGCATCTGCGCATTATGTGATCAAACACTATGCGCATTATATACGTAAACTAGTCTAGATCTTTTTATCTACCTTTCCTTATTTTATTTTACCTATACTAAATCTAGATAATGAATAATATTTCGCGCCAAAAAATATAAACAAGCTCTTACATCTTTAACCACACATAAAGTAAGCATCAACATGATTTGCGATCTGTTGACTGAATCAAAGTGCATCATCGTTTCCCTCATAAAATAAATAGACAGTAAATTTGGGTCAGAGAATTTATCAGTTCTGATACAGTGGCTAGGTTATCATATTTTATTCCGCGTACTTTCAATATTAATAGATTCAAAGCAATAAAAGCTGTGGCTTTTTTCGTATAAAAATTATCACAGTTGTTTTGTAAAGATGACTCAATAGTCATCACATTACAAAGCATTTCGCACATTAAATTGAAAAATTGACATCAAAATGTTAATAAATTATAATTAAAATTTCTTTATTGGCAGGCCTTGCATGATCATCCCTATTATTGGCGAACTAGGTAAGATTTTGACATGCTTAACATCCATATGTTATCTTATTTTGCAATTTCTTATGCAGCATCGGCATTGGGATTGATTTTGAACACATACTTTAGAGACTGGCCGATGGAAGTTGCTGGAGTCACAGAAGCACTGTTTCCTGGACTTGCAGGTATGATTGTTGTTCTATTTTGGAATATAACAGTATCTGTAGCTGTATGGCACTCTATAAAGGTGTACGTCACTTAAAAACAACACCCTATGCACCTAATTAAGCATTCAAGTCAATCAATCACAAACTTAATGGCTCACATTAATAATTGTTTCTTAGGTGGCTGGTTCACAATGCTAATGGGCGTATTTAGCTACATCGCGGACATAACCACGGAAGAAGAACGAACATTGAGAATCGGAATCGTTAACCTTTGCTTCTCCTTAGGCGTTCCAATCGGTATGGCTTTTAGTGGCATATTACTAAAGTAAGTAAAGCTTGCAGTCACATTGTGAATACATAATTATCTACAACACGTATGATTAGTAATGCTACGTGTGGATAGACAATGCAATTCAATTTTGCTGTAGCTGTAAATTAAAATAAATGAAAAAAATAATTTTTCAATTTCAGACAAATTGGATTTTATGGCATATTCTCAATATCTGCATCATTATACGTCCTCGCTCTTATTTATGGCATCTTTTTTGTCGAAGAACCGGCTATGAAAATAAATGAAAAGGATAAGCTTAAGGCAAAAGAAAAGGGATTATTAGCTGATTTCTTTGATAAGGAGCATGTTATTCAGACATTTAGAGTTGCATTTAAGAAAGGCGAGAATCAGAGACGATTACGCGTGACAATGATATTAATCGTCGTAATGGTCGTTATTGGACCGATGCACGGTGAAATGTCTGTTATTTATTTATTCACAAGATACAAATTCAACTGGTCTGAAGTGGAATTTAGTTTCTTTTCGACCTACGCGATGCTTACGTCGCTCATTGGTAAGTTCGAGGGTATTTCAATGAAGATATTCAGTTACATTTGATGTCATCTATAGGAACCCTCTTCTCGGTCGGTGTCTTCTCACATCTCCTTCAAATTGATGACGCAATCATTGGCGTTTTGTCGTCAATGTCGAAAATTATTTCAAGTTTCGTGTATGCATTTGCATCAACAACATGGCAACTTTATTTGGCTCCTATTGCTGAGATTCTGAATGGAACTTCATTCATTGCTATGCGATCAATTGCTTCAAAGCTTGTGCAGAGTGATGAGTTGGTAAGGATTGTTTTGGGGTCAACAACTCGAGTGGCACATCTAGTGCTTATTTTTTGGGTATATCCTAGTCATATAACCTAGTTTGGCAATGGTTTGAACTTGGGTATACACCATCAAACTTCCTTTAACCTAATGTGCTACTCGGATTTCTTTATCTCGTAAACAACTTAAATTAACACATTAATCCTCACATCCATTAACAGGGAAAGGTCAATTCATTATTCGGAGTTGGTGAAGCATTAACACCGTTACTTTACGCACCAATGTACACTCAAGTTTATCGAGCTACAATCGATGTACTGCCTGGAGCTTTCTTCTTACTCGGAGGTGCTTTAACATTCCCTGCTGTTTTGATTTTCTTGTAAGTTGCTTATTTATTGCCTTTTACTTATTTTTTTGGAAACTTGAATAATTTGGCATTTACCGGTTTTAATGTGGTCGTTGATGTTATTCCTGTTCTGATGTGAATGCTAATGAATTATAGGGAAAGTTGAACAGGATCCGGGATTGAGAGATATTAAATTAAGCATAACTTATTATAGGTGGATGTACAAAAAGCACAAAGAAGATGATAGACGACGACAACTTCTCAACCGACCAGAAAACTTCAATAATATTGATGATCCCGAGAGTAATAAGGAACTGGAAGCACATGTAGTATCCAACAGATTCGGATCAACAAGAAGGAATTCAACCTTTAAGCCTCGACATAGTTTGGGGATCATCAACAACAGTTTCATACAAGACGATGATAAAGTGATTCAAGAAGCTGTAGACATAATCGGAGATCTTCCAGCATTGCACATGGAGCACTGCAAACTGTGATACATTCAAATAATGAGTGAGATGATTAGTATTTTAAGGACATTTAACTTTGTTATGGATGCAAATTCTATTGTGTTGATATTACGTAACTTTATATTTTTATTTGCAAGGGATGGGACAATTTTTTTTATATTTATGGTATCAGTAGTGAAATTGATAGAAAATTTAATAATTTAAAAAGAGTTATCATCCCTTGTCTTCGAACCAATGATATTAAAAAGTGCACAATGAAGATTTGGTACGTGCAAGATATATGATACCTGTATGATACAAAAAATAAAGCTCGAGTGTGTCATGAGTCATTAATAAAAATTATGATTGTGTTTACTTTTGCTTCTCTCTTTCTGGAGATCTTGTCGAACATATGATCAGTTGTGACTTCTCTCTCACATTTTTTGCCGGTTGATTTTGCATTTTAATAGTCTTGTTTGTTGATGTTTATTTGGATTGTGCTTGTTTGGTGTTTTGATATACTTGAGCAATCATTTTGATGTTTCGGGATTAAGAAATTTAGGAATCGTTCGAAAGTGATGATTATTGATGGATTAATATAATCAAAGTAAAATAATTGCAACTTCTTCCAACTTGAGTCTCAACTTCTCATTTTATTTCATTTATATCAAATTCAAACTTACAAGACTCAAATAAAATCCAACAATAGCCCAATAAATAAAGTCACTCAGCCAATGATTTATAATCCATATCAATTCATGTTGTCCAATATCCAATTCAAGTAGTATTTAACATTCGTGTAGATACCTGGAAATATTAACTTTGGATCTTCGCATTTGATTCCTCCAGAAACAACTCCGTAAAGATAAATTTTAGCTTTTCCTCCTGATGCTACATATCCTGAGATTCCTCCGCCTGAAATTAGGTTGCTTTAATTTTGAAGAAGGTTTTTAAGGCTTTGTTAACCTTACCTGAGTCACCTGGAACGAGAGAAAATTAATTAAAACTATTCGTATAGTATTTATGGACTCTGTCATGATTTATCAACGGTTTAAATGAAGTATGCATGACTTTTAAATTATTAATCTTACCTTTGCAAGTATCCGTCTTGTTATGTCCACCAGCGCATATATATGTGTGGAAAATATCAATTTTGTAAGGTGCAAATCTACTAACGCAGTCACTGTTTTCGACGTAAGGAACATAAGCTTTTTGAAGAATGTCAGCTTGATTTCCACTTCCTGTAGCAAAAAATGTCAGTTTAGTTTTGATTTGTTTGAGCTCAAAGCAAGTGCCAAAGCTTATAAATTAACATCTACTCACCAACTTTTCCCCATCCTAAAAGATCACATTTAACATTTTTAATCAATCAAGCTAACGCAAACTCATCAACTCACCTGTAATAATAAGTGGTGTCCTCATAGACTTAACTCTATCAATATCCGTTGCATCAGTTGTAGGAAGACAAATAGTCTTTACATTATTCTTCGTGGTATCAGCAGGTGAAACCAATTTTAAAACAGCAATGTCATTTTTCTGTCCAGCTGATCTCTTGTAGTCAGGATGTTTTATCTTTTTCTCAATTTTAATATCCTGAACAGGATCAGCGCAAGCTCCAAGTGTATCACAGTCTGTTGATTTTGATATTGTGTGCTCACCAAGTCGAACTGCATTCCTGATATCAAAATATCGACATGGATTAGTATAAAATAACTTTTGATGACTCTACTTACAGATCATTAGTAATGCAGTGCTAGAACAGTATTTAGAGAGAATTTAAAAGGATTAAAATATTTAGGATAACACAATAAATTGATAACTCACAGCAGCAGTCAAAACAAATCGACTACTTATCAAGCTTCCACCGCATCCCCATTCAAACGTGTCAAGAAGTTGATATCCAAGTAAAACAGCCCATGGGAATTCTTTTAGATCAGCTAGAAAATTAACAAAGCATTGACTTTATTATTACCTTCTCAACTAGCTTAGATGTTAGAAAATGCATAAAAGTCATTCATTAGATACTCTTGATGAAAAACTTACCATCGATACCTCCAACAATCCTATTTGTTGTCGACACTCCGCAAGTTTTATCATTAATTAAATTAAAATTTGGATGATTTCTGACTGAGTTTAAATCTGATGGACTTCTTGGCAAATTTGAATCTTTTCCTGATGTCACTACTACGGGAGCAACTGTTGTTGTTGTGACTGGTGCTGATTTTGCATTATCTGGACAGCATACAAACTAATGATAAGAGATTAGAAGATGTGGATTCAAGTCAAACCAGAGCTCGAAGTCGACTCTGCCATTCAAAATAGATGAAAATTTCGAGCCGACTTCAAGCTCTGAGTCAAACTAAAGTTGTAAAAATCAACTTTGAGGTGAAGGTCTATATATTCGATTAGAATGCCATTTATGAACCAACCGTTACATGTTTTATCCTTATTAATGCTTAGGTTAAAACAAATAAGCTTGACCTATTTGTGTTTTCACAAAAAAAGTACTTGCGACACAACTGAGAGTTGCAAACAGGCACTTATTCTTCATTTGAGAGATTATTTACTCAAAAACAATAAACAACCGGTATAAACAATAATCATGACCTTGAGACCAAGTTTCGAATCGTTTATGAGTAATAGCTTAAAAATAAATTCTGCAAAGTTTAGCACATCTTTAAATAAATATTTCTTCATGATCTTGGGTAATAGAAAATGCTTAATTAACTTTATCTATTAGCACTTCACAAAAAACATTGAGTCATGGCAACTTACACCACCAGCTGCACAAACATGTGAGTTTATATTTCGAACAACATCTTGTGGTGGTCTTCCACTGTGCTGCTTTATCAAAGCTTGAAAGGAGTCACAATAATGCAATCTAATACATGTTGATATTCGTTTTCCATCAGGCAGTGAGCAAGAATCTTCTAAAATGTCAATAAAATATTAGTAAATGCTTTGAAGTAATCAGACACCGTCTAGAAAACTTGTTTTTAATTGTCATGGTGCATAGAATCTATCAAGAACTTACGCTGAATTGTGAAAATAAAATTCGAAAGTACAATAAGTGCGGTCAGTAAATTTTTAATTGAACCTCTGCACTGATAAGCCATTATCAATCTTAAATAAATCAAATGAACAAAAAAAAAATTAAGTACGTCTCTCTTGTCAAGAGATTTGTTTTAGACTGAGTATATGTCAAATTTATTTTCGATGTGTGTAAGTCTCTGTTTATGGGAGTCGAAAACAAATAAGTTGCAAAGCCGGTTTTTAAGAAGATGATTGAGAAATGAGAGAATTTACGCCTTCTTAAGGTTAATGGGAATTCCCGACAAGGTCGTTCATTCATTCTAAGCTATTGTCATTGAAGAAATTGACGAAACTGGTTTGGCATTTAATAATTTTTTTTGGGATATTTGTCATTGGAGTGTCTTGAGCTGCTTGGAATAGGTCAACATTTTTTTGGTGTCATTAAAGTTTTTTTTGAGAATATTATCTAGAGTTATTTAACTTAATTGGTGATAAGGTGGCAGAAATAGGACGAAGTTTAAGGTTAATATATTATTGTGCTTCCTGTGACTCATTTCATTCTTGTTTTAAATCCTGCTTTATTTATTTTAGTGTAATCTGAAAGTTAATATTTGATGTGATTCTTAGAAGATTCAAATCGATGAATAAGTGCAAATTAAAAATTCAAATGTGTTAATTTAATTTTTATTCATTAAATAAATTTGTCATTTGAAGATTAAGCAACGCTAAGAATTTCAAATATTCCGAATAAAAGGAACTGAACTGATCGACAAAGTTTATCATATTTGTCATTTCTGGTTCCTTAATTTGAAGCTATCCTCTCAGTAGCAAAGGGGAAATGATGGATCAAAATAAATAATATTCTTCAGTTCCTTATTCTTAATAGATAATCAAGTTCAGTTGGCATCTCAATTTTCTTGCATTAAAACATTAAACCACTTAGCATTACTTATCATCTAAATTGTTATGCTTGTTTATTAAATTACAAAATTTTTGCACAAATCATTCAGAAAGATTATCCAAAATCCAAGTCAAAAAGTATTTGATATTTGCAAATATTCCAGGATACATCTTGTTTGAATCTTCACACTTCACTCCTCCTGTAACCACACCATAAAGGATTGCCTTTGGTTTTCCATTTAATGTGTTAAATGCCATGAGTCCACCACCTGAAAATAAAATATTTAATTCCTGTTTTGTTCCTTAAATTGATAAGGTAGAAATAAAATTCGATGTTTATACCTGAATCGCCTGTGGAAAATATAAAAATGTGATTAGTAAGTTTGCGAGTAAATGAGTCTTTTTAACTTTAATACCTTTACAAGTATCCGTTTTATCATTCTTAAAGTCCTGAGAGTATCCAGCGCATAATTGTACAGGATAAATTTGAATATTTTCAGGATTAAAAATTGCATTGCATGTATTTAAGTCTACAAATGGAACAAATGCCTTCTGTAGAATGTCTGAACTTGATTGGTCCCCTATAAAATTCAAAATGAATTAATCTTCTGATTTTTTATCTAACATTTATGATGACTATTTACCAGTTCTTCCCCATCCTGAAAATTTTAAAATAAATTTCCTTTTTACTTATAAAGACTTTATAAATCATATTTATCCTTACCTGTAATAACAAAATTGTCATTCCTCTTTTTAAATTCCTCAATATCACTCTCGTGAGTAATTGGCAGACAAATCATCCTCACATTATTTTTAGTAAGATCTGCAGGTCGCACAAGCTTCAATAATGCAATATCATTTTCCTTTGTTTTTCTGGTAAAATATGGATGCTTGATTTTCTTATCAATCTTTATATCCTGGATGGGATCAGCACATTGATCAGAATCATCACAATCTTCTTGTTTTGATATTGTGTGCTCACCAAGGCGGACTGTGACTCTAAAATTAGTAAGATTGTTCTAAGTTTCTACATGAATGAAAAAGATATTGAAGATGAGCTGAAGAACCATGGGAAGGACTCTAGCAAGTATGAGGCTGTTCTTATTAAGTATGAGATGACCCCAAAAGAGATGACTGAACTTGTTATACTCACAGTTCTTTAGTAATGCAATGCTAGAATATAAAGAAGCCAAATAACTTTCAAAAAAGATCAAATTTATCAAACAATCTTACACAAGCTGTCAATACGAATCGCTGAGAAATTAAAGTTCCACCACATTGCCAAACCAATTGATCGACCAACTGATAGCCAAGTAATGCAGCCCATGGAAATTCTCTTATATTAGCTGCAGATCATCATAAAAATAAATAGATTTAAATGTCAAAATAACAAAAACTTACCGTTGACTCCACCCACGATTCTATTTGATGATATTGCACCACAAGTTCTTTCATTAATCAATTTGATATTTCGATGATTTTCAATGTCGTTGAGACTTTTAGTTTTTAAATCACGAGGGGGTGAAAGAGAAGGATAAGCTTCATCAACTGCATTATCAGGACAGCATATTAACTATTTATAAATATAAAGTAACATTTAAAAATTTGAAAATTAATCCTTTGCAACTTTTTACATCACCGCTTCCACAACTATGTGATCTAATATTGCTGACTACATCCGGAGGTGGTCTTCCATTGTACTTTCTTATCAAATCTTGAAAATAGGTACAATAATGTAGCCTCACACATGCTGACTGTTGAGTTCTACCAGGGAGAGTACAAGAACTTTCTGAAATATCAAATAAAAGTTTTTATTGAGAAATTAATATCATTTTAAGTCTCAAAAGAAGTCAAAGCATGGAAAATCTATTGATATGAATAGGAAAGATTCTAGTAAACAAACTCCTACTTCCAATTAAGCTAATAGGTTAAAAGACATTCTATTCATAAATATCAATGAAATTCAATAGATATCAAATTTGTAAGCAAGTCATTTGAAAAGATTTGCCATAAATTTGTGAATGACACTTCGATTTCATATCTTTCATGTTTAATTTAAATCAATTATCTTACGTTGATGAGTCACAACAGAATTCAAAAGCACTAAAACTGCTACAAATAAAAATTTCATCGTTAAACACTGATTAGCGATCATACCTGCTCGCGACTCTTTAATTGACTGAATATTTGTGCGTATTAATCTTTTGAAAACTGCAGGTAGTACAATAAAATGTTAGAATTTTCCAGAGTTGTGATTCACAAGTTAGAATTATTAGAAAATTAATAATTATTTATGCTCTGCTTATTTATGAATTTTTAATTGATTCAAATAATTGAGCTAACACTGAAATCATCATCAATTCTCAGTCATCAACTCTGTGAGAATTTGAGCTTAATATATTTTAATTCCTATTATGGAATGTTGTTAAGCTTGATTTTTGAAGATTTAAACTAAAACTTTTTATTGGAAGAGAGCTTGGAGGAGCTTGTTTTGGGAAGATTTAAACTAAAACACACCCTCAAAAATCAATTTTGAATGTTCTGGTTATTAAATGGTATCCCTAAACAACCTTTATTAGCCAATACCTTAAATTAAATGGAAATTGAAAATTTAAACTGCTCTCATATCCTTCAATGGATGATTTTTTCAAAAGATTTAAATGCTAGAATATAAAACTTTGTATTAAATGATGAAAACTAGCTTCAAAATGTCTTTTTGAACTTTCACATGTAGCTAGCCAAGAAACATTTAAAACTCACTCAAAATAAAATTTTAACATTTTCTTTTATTAAAATAAATTTAAAGTTTACATTTTCTTAGGATCTTATAAACATTTAGGGAGGCATTAATAAGTTTCGATATAAAAATAAAATTTCAACTATAATTTCAGTTTTTTTCATCTCTATTTAGCCATTTTAAGGACAATGGTGATAACTTCATCAACTGTATAGTTATTCAAAAGTGATTTAATGTGCTCTTCATCAAGCACCATTGAGAACAATTGCTTTGTATTTTCACGCATTCTTGTTGAGTCATCCTCATTTCCATCTCCTTTTCTTAATGGCGTGTGACTGCACTGTTCGAGAACTGAGCAAAGAACATCATCAATTGCCTTCTTGCCAAATCCTAGTTCCTTTAATAAACTTTCTTCAATGACAATTTGAAGAAGTTCCTGAATTCTTTTCTTAAGCAAGTCATCATCAAGAAATATTGGCGCGCATTCATCGTCATCATCTTCATTTGCAATTTGGACGACTTCCTTTTTGGCTGGTGACTTTTTAGATTTTCTAGCTTTCGGTTTCTCATCAGCCGCTTCCTCAACTTCGAGAACTTCATAGACAGTTTCCTGTGAATCATCATTATATACAATAATTTCAAGTTCCTCAGTTCCAGTTATTTTATTTTGTTGAGCGGATATGATTCGATTAGTCTCAGCTTCGACAATAATTTGTTGCAGCATTTCTCTATGCTTTGAGCGGACATGACGAACTAAGCAATCCATACGAAGGAAATCTTTATTACAATAGCTGCAACGTGCTGGATCTTCAACTTGATGAATACGCCTGAAAGTTAGACAACGACATAAGAATCTAATTTGTGGATATAAAGCTATGAACTTACATGTGAATTCTTGCAGCAGCTTTGGTCACAAATTTCCTATCACAAATTGCACACATATGCTTTCGCTCCCCAATATGTGATTCAATATGACGCCCTAAATCTTCTCGTCTCATGAATGTTTTCGAGCACATATTACACGTTGGCATCTTCTTCTCAAGATGGATATACTCGATATGCTCTCGCATTCTTGTCTTTCGATTAAACTGCTTTCCACACATGTCACAATTATATGCGTTTTCGCCTGTATGATGGAACAAGTGGGCACGCAACTGTGTATTTTGGATAAAACTCTTACCACAGATGCGACATACGTGATCTTTTTTGCCAGTACTAGAAATGAAGAAAACAGTTGTGTAAATGGTGTATATTTTTGGACTTAAAATGTACTTACTGAGTTTTTGTGTGACGATTTAACGTTTCTTTAGCTGCAAACTTATTGCCACAGATGCTGCACGTGTATGGTTTTTCACCTGGATTAAATGATAAGATTTTAAAAATCACGGCTGATATCTGATATGACAGAGGGATATGACATAGTAAACTCAAGAACCGATCTTAGAAGATTTTTGGGGTTTCAATGAACTTAATGATTCCTAGACACACCCCAAGTGAGTATCCCTCAACAATTGCGACCCTACATACCTGTATGAGTTCTTCGATGCTTAGTCAGAGCTCCAGATGATGGAAATCCTTTCCCACAATCATCCCAGTCACAAAGATAAGGCTTTTCTTTGGTATGTGAGCGAATATGAATGTTGAGCAATGAGGATCCATAGAATGCCTTTTCACAGTATGGACATTGAAAATCTTTAAACATAAAATAAGCAACATTAAGCAACAAGAATAACACATAAAATAAAAACTAAGTACCTCTAGATCTAGATTTTTCGCCTAAATGAGCTCTTAAATGCATTCGAAGGTTATCGATACGCGAAAACACTTTGTTGCATACTTCACAGTTAAATTCTTCTTTCTTAAATGTACCCGGATTACATTGCGTATGAGTTAGATGTCTCTCTAGGTGATACTTTCTAGTAAAAACTTTACCACAAGTTGGGCAAGCGATTGGATCTTTTGCCTCATCTGAGGCTGACTTTTCCTTCTTTTTGTATGGCTTACGTGGTTTCTTGAATTTTGTTTCTGGATCTTCAAGAATATCTGTGATGACAACCGGCTCTTCTTGACCATCTTTTAAAATTTTCGACTTTTTAGGCGACTTTTTGGGGGATTTTTTCGGTTTTTCATCAGACTCAGCTGATTTCTCCTCAATAATCGCAAATACTTGAGCTGGACAATGATGATTTTGATAAGATTCAGTACTATCAAAATTCCCAGAACATCTTCTACATACAAAAATCATCAATGGTGCTTCCATGACTGGAACAGCCACAGACTTTACATCCTCCTTCACCTTTTTAGTCTTTGATGGTTCTTTATTTACGCTACCTTTAGGGCGACCCATATTTAGTGAATTGATTGAAATTTAAGGTAAAGATATGACGTAACGGTCAACATATAACAGTAAGGCACTTTGTACTTGATATAATTAACAAGGTTGAATTGAGCTAAAATCAAGTTTAAATCATAAAATCAAGAAAATTTAAAATTTAACGCTATTAGAAACTTAAAAACAAAACAAAGCGTATGAAAGGTTTGCGGGTGTGGAATAAATTTGAATTCTTTGAGACTGTTAGGAAATTTGTATGCCTGATTGATGATGGTTTAATTCTTAATTTATGGAAAAAAATTTTGATCAGTTTTGTTTAATAATTTTCGGTCACTAATGATGTCTATTGTAAACAGGAGAGGGAGAGGGGTAGGACTGGGTATGATGCCTTAAGTCAAATAGGGGGCACTTTACTCACACCCCCTCTTATTAGGGAGTTTGTTCAATCCACTCAATGATAGACATAATATGATTGACCCTCTAACACGTTAGATTCAAGTTCACTTAAAAAAGATCTGTTGCATGCTACAAAATTCCACCCATACCACCCAAAATAATCCAATAAGAATCCAAAAGGCTTTCACAATCTTCACATCAAACAAAAAAATAGACAGCGTGCGTTGTCAACAATTATTTTGTGTGAACTGATTAGTCCACTTACGTGATTTCCACCTGTTCCACAAACGAAAATTCTCTCCTATGTAAACAAAATAAAGGAATCGTCATGTATATTTCGATTCTCTTTACAACGGTAGCTGTGACAACAAGAAAAGCATAAACATTACGAAGCCTGTCAACTCGCGTATTCATTGAATGAATTTCAGTCTAGTTTTAACTTTTTAACGATTATTACCTAGTAAAAATTGTCCATCTGATTCCTTCATGTGATTAATGGATTTAAAATAAAGGTCACTAGTTCAAATTCTACAACATCGATCGCATGTTGTAAAAAGTGAAACGTGAAAGATTAAAATTTTATTTATTTTTCTCTCTCAAAGCTTTAATAAGTGAAAGTACCGCAAAATTAATAAATTATGACTGAAAATGTTGATGCAGAAGTAATAAAGAGGACACAGGATGCGCTCGGAAAATATGTTAAGAAACCTCCATTGACGGATAAGTTGTTAAGAAAGCCACCATTTAAATTTATTTTGGATATTGTAAAAGCTGTGAGTTGTTATTTTTTTGTTTTAATTTCTTGTTTAATACACAATAACAACATTTTGTATATTGTATGCATCAATAAATGTTATCGATCTAACCAAAAAATTTCCACCCTTTTGTGCTGCGAGGTGGTATGGAAAATTTTTGACTTTTGGGGGTGCATGAGGCGCATTTTTAGAGGGAAATGTTGCAAAATGTTGTGAAATTTAAACTAGGCATGGTTCAATTAGTTTTGGCATCTTTATGCTTAAAGTTTCATTGGAAAGAGATTGCGATCAGTGCTGCAGAATTCTCAGAGCAACGTCACATCCTAGAGTTTACCACAAAATGTCATAGTGTTGTGGGCTACCCTTGAGGGCTAGGGAACCTTGAAGCCTGTTTTTTGGGGGTACACCCTACTACTTAATGACTCTAGGTGTAAAAAGCTAAGGTTCATTTGAGCAATTGACCTCTGACTAGACTCAAAATATTCAAACTCATCGATGACGGTCTTCAATGCTTTAAGGTCATAGTTTGCAGCTACGTGCCAAGTCAATAGACATTCCTCTTGATGTAATAAGTCCAAAAACTCTACATAATTTTATATCATACCACGTAACCTAATCTAGAGTTATTCAATCGCATAACAACATGCTTATTCCACTCATGCAACCTACAACACGACAAACTAATAACAATACCTGCCTCCTTTCTCAGAATGCAAACTACAAATTACACAAAAATTAATCGATAACTTTTATTTTTTAAAAAATAAATAACAAAAAATTACCCAGAAAGGATTTCATTTTCGATTAAAACAATTTTCCAGGTGATTCGAGACACTCATTTCCTAGAAGACCTATATACCGATGACGAGTTGAATGCCGAAAAGGATCGTGATGGGAAAATGAAATTTCTTCAAAAATTAATCGATGTCATTAGTAAGTCAAAAACTGATTATGGATATTTCAAAAATTGATAATTTATTAATCTTTTAATTCTGGGAACAATAGAAATTGTGACTCAACAAGACTTTCAAATCAAAACTTCAAAAGTTGTGGCCGGTCTCGAGGCTGACAAGACAAATGAATTATTTCAAGCACTAGCTTATGCTATTGACAATAAATTGGATAGCAAAGAAGCTGTTACGGCTGTAAAGAATGGAGCAATAATTCAAATGAAAGGAAAGCCGGCAAAAGGTGATCAAAAATCCACAAGACAGACTGCACAGAAAACGAGCAATAAAACAAAAGAACTACCGCCATCGCGAGACCGAACACCAGCAAAACCCGAGCAGAAGAAGACACTTGCGTCACAGAGGTCAATCGACAAGAAAACGACTACAAATGTGAAGGAAAAAGAAAAAGCTGCGACGAAAGAAAAAGTTTCGTCCAAAACAAAAACGATTAATGATAAAAATGAGACCAAAAAGCTGAGGAAAACCCCATCGAAGGAACTAGAAGTTCAGAAGGTTGATGAAAAGATTATTACAAATGGAAGTTTAGATAGCCACAAAGAAAATTCAATAACACCACCTAGACAAAACTCACAAGAGAAAAATGAGGAACCAAACTTAGTGATTGAAAATAATCAGCAAGAACAAGCAGAAGAAGAAAAGAAGGAAGCAGAAGAACCGAAATTGAATGGAGATATAAATCACAATGTTGAGCATCATCTTGTAAATAATAGTCATGCATTTGAGATTGAAAAGGAACCAGAAAATACAAAGCCACAAGATGAACTTGCTGCAATTATTGATGAGGAAGCTGAATTTCGGCGGAAAGAGAAAACATCAAAGAGACTTTCATCAAGGCATCGACAAAAGTCTGTAGAGAATGAAAGTCAAGACAACAAAGCTGAAGTTCATCAGCCACTACAGGAAGTAAATCATCAAAAACCTCAGTCTCTAGCACCACAAGCTGATAAAATTGAAAGATTTCAATCAAATTATAAACGAGAGTCATTGGATAGACCTAGAACATCTCTGCGACCACCATCAGCCAGACCAGCAAGTAGTCGACCAGCAGCTCCAAGAAGACGTGACAAAAACATTGAAATAGTTCTACAACCAGAAGAAAATGTTCAGCTAGGAAACATTCAAGTCAAGATGGAAAATTTCTCAAAGGAGCTGGAAGATGATGGCGAGAATCTTGTGATAATTGAGGATCCAAGTGCTTCGAATGATGAGACAAACTTTATCAATGAAAGAATGACCAAAAATGTCAGCATTGACTCTAGTGACACAGTTCAAAACGATCATGGACATTTAGTGCAACAGATACTTGAGACCGAGAAGAATTTCGAGGGTGCATTGGGGATGGATGGAAGTGAGCAGAACAAGAAAACTGAGATAGTAAGTAGACGATTGGAAATTGTGGTTAGAAAGCTCTAGTTGATGGTTTTAGGAGATTTAAAGAACTGAATGGATCCTATTTAGGATTAATTTTTGAGAGACATGCCATCTATGCAATAATCCTTGTCAGAAAATATTTTCCCGCCAAAAATTAACATCTTTCTTTTTATATCAACAGGAATTCGACGAGACACGGAATCAATCAAACTTAAAGCAAATTGAGAACCTTAAAGATCTTATACAAAAGCTAGTGAGATCCCTCAATCCACTAGGAAAATTAATGGACTATGTTCAAGAAGATATCGATTCAATGCAACGAGAGTATGGTAAATGGAATGAAATATACAAACAGGCAGCCATCGATTTAAAACGTGAGCAAAGGTAAAGCTGATAGATTAAGCAATGAATTTGTTATGAAAGAATTTAATATATTATTCATTTTTATAGTGAAACGCAAGCAGCAATTGAGCCATTGAGATTTCAATTAAATCAACTCGAAAAATCCATCGCAGAACATCATCAGCTAATTGATCAGTTGCGTGGAAATCTAATGATGAGCGAGAATAAAATAAATAAAATTTTTACCGATGTGTAATTAGGGATTGTATATTAATGGACGAAATAAAGAAGAAAAATTTTGTTTCATAATTCATCATATCTATCAATGAAATTCTATTTTGTGTAAGTTGAATTTTCTGTAACCGTTTTTAAAAACTCAAATAAATAGTGATGCTGGGTTATAAGTCCAGAGATTATAAGTCCAGAAAATCAAAGTCAATAAAGGTTTATAAGTCCAGATACAAATTGCACCTGGACTTATAATCCTTGAAAATTATTTGTGAAACTATTTCAATTTTTTTTTCTTTATTAATTATGAAAAATTATGCATTTGACAATAGGCGATTCCAGTAGGGTAAATTGCAAAAATTTTGACTTCGAATGAAGTTTTTGGCGAAATTTTTCACTAAACCTTACAAGCTATTCAGTTTATCTGATGTAATTTTTTATTTCCTATCTCTTTAGTTATTTGTCCAAGCATGAATTGTCCTATTTATTAAGATTTTTCAATTCTTCTGCCTGTTGCTTTGTGACCAAAAATAGAATTTTGTAAAAGTTTCAATAGGGTAATCAAAAATTTCATATCAAATCTTAATCTTTGCAGCATTAAATGTACACTTAATTATAGATTAAGATCTGTTTAGAAATGTTAAATCCGTTCAAAATTACAAAATTTTTTGATCGAAAATACTGTAATTCTGAACTTTCAAGCTACACTTTTGACAAATTTCATCATTTATAATAAAAGTAAATTATTATCGATGAAAAATTTAAAATTTAAAATTATTCTATATTTAAATTTGCCGTTCATTTTATCATCTTCTATGATTCTGCATACTTAAATTGTCTCAATTAACAGAAAAGTTAATAATTTTATTGCAACTAATGTAATATACCAACGCTTAAGCCAAATCCGTGGGAAAATGATATTAAAAAATCAAGTTTTACTTTAATTACCAACAATTTTTGTTGATTAGAATTATGGGGCCATTCACTTATTACGTAACGCTTTTAGGGGGAGGGGGGGGTCTAAGATTTTGTTACGATTCAAACAAGGAAATTTTTTTTCATACAAATTTTGTTACGAGGGGGGGGGGGGGGTCTGAGAAGTCATTTTTTCGCGTTACGTAATAAGTGAACAGCCCCTATGTTTATATAAGTTTATAAAATTAAAGTTTGGTTAATAAAAATTTTTTTGAAAAAACATTTTAGAATGTTTGTTAAGCTTTAAATCTCAACCATATGCTAAACGAAGCTTAGCTGACTTGCCAAATTATATAAAATAAAATTTTAATTTTAATAAAAAAATTTTTAAAACGTATTAGAAAAATAAAAGCTGAAGTTTTTCGGAGACGTAAATTTACATCAGAAAAATTGATTTATTTTCTAAAACTTCCTTAAAATTCAAATTAAACAATGATTTGGAAGATAAGGTACTATATATATAAGGTACTTTAGAGGAAAAAAAAATCAGAAAAGTTCATTTGTAGAATTGCTTTAAAGGAAAAAATTGAAATAGTTTCAAAAAATAATTTTCAAGGATTATAAGTCCAGAAAAATGTATCTTAAGTAAAATTTATAAATTTTCTGGCATTATAAAGCACACGTGAGGTTTTTAAGTCCAGGTGCAATTTGTAACTGGACTTATAAACCTTTATTGACTTTGATTTTCTGGACTTATAATTTTTTGTGCACGATTTTTGTATCTGGACTTATAATCTCTGGACTTATAACCCAGCATCATAAATAGTTACTGAACGTCCTCGAAATAAAAAGACGAGAATTGAATAGAAAAAAAACTTAAAAAAATCTCTTATTATTCATGCAATCGTCATAAAGTATTGACCATAGTGTGAAAAGTTTGTGTATAAATATTTTATGCATTGCATAAAAATCAAGTTTATGTAAATTATGGAACAAGAAACGTTCTTTAGTGAAAAATCAAATTTTTTTAAGAAACAGAAAAAATATGGAACTACAAATCACAATAATCTAAAGAGAAATCATACGGCAGAAGTATTAATTCGTCATGATTTAACAAAAACAGATACATTACAAGGAATTGCCATCCAATATGGTTGTTCGGTAATATAAATGATAAGATATAATTTGAGTGTTAAGTGAAGTCATATGACTGTCACTTTCGTCTGCACTTAGCGCCTTTCCAATCTATTTCCGTCCAATTATCAATTTAATTTCTCTGTTACACTTCTTTTGTAGATGGAACAAATTCGGCGAGCAAATAGACTGTTTGCGAACGATAGCTTATTTCTTCGCGAACACTTAATGATACCTGTACATAAAGATTCACCGTTTTATCCGAGAGAGGCTGAGCAGCCAATGTGTTATAATAATAACAATAATAATAATAATGGTGTACTGTTAAGACGTGCTAATACAATCGGTGAACCATCCTCATCATCATCTTTGTCCAAAGACTATTCAGACTCAATTGACTCGTTAACGAGTCCCGATGAAGAGAATCGGAAGTTTATGGATGAATTTCTAGAAAAAATAGACAGTTCAATTGCGTCGTCAAAGAAACTTGTGCAGCAACAACAAAGAAACAGTGATTACATTTCATCGAGTCAGAGTGAAGATTCACTATTCAGTTCGAGTGGAAATAGCTTTATTAACCATAATTATGAACTAGCTCATAATCCAGAAACGTCTGCATCATATCAACAATATTATCAATCACTTAATAGTCATCAACAAGCCCGTCACAGTCTAGGTATGAATGATTCAACACAGCTTGTTGTTAAAACAAATGGACGACACATAAAGAATTCCTTACAACGACTTGAAAAGCAGCAAGATGAAATTTTCGAATTGTAGCAGTTAGCAGAAGCGCAGCTTTATCGATCGATCGATGATCGAAGTTATATGGTGCGGTTATCCACGATAAGGGAACGAATTTCTCGAATATTATTCCATAGAAACAGTCGTAGACTTCGGCCGCGTGCACAATAGATACAAGAATAATATTATCATAATATATACATACACAACTCAGTTATGATGACTATGACTATACATTTCAACATAAATCCTTCCGTAATGTAAACATTGTCGATAGTACTTCTGTTCTATGGATTAGCTGATAACAATCCAGTGACGAATGCTAAACCGTAACTATAAAAAAAATTGTATGATATCGATCGATCGAGCTGTGCATGAGATTATATAGGAAAATAGGAAAAGTAAAGCAGATTTAGGCCTTAAAAGTGAAGTGAAATTTAATAAGTGTCGCTAATTCTCACTATAACAATCAACTATAGATAGTTGGGGTTGGTTCATCAGTGACGTTCACATTAACTGAAAAGATACATCACAGAGTTCATTCAGACATGGAATCGGAATAGAGTGTCATCCCAATTTCGAATAGACGTCATAAACGAACGACCCTGGTTCTACATATGCTCTTTATTTAAGTTATTACAATGCTAGTTCTTGAAATATCACATGAATTATTCATAAAGATTCCAAAGTGATTTTTATTCTTATTTCAAATTATATAGCTGGATCTATTAATTTATTTAACACAAAAAATAGCTTCTTTATAACGAGTTAACGGCTATGAGCGATTAAAACTTCATATTATTTATTATTTTGTGAAAGTTAAATGCTTAAATTTTTTGATTCGGTACGTTTCATCATTGACTGAATGAAAGAAAGTGTGACACAGAAAACAAGTGCAAAATTGACAAAATAAAACATTATGAATCACTCTATAAATAAACCTTGGATGTACTTTAGAAGTTCTCGTAATTGTTTCATAACACATGTACACATCACATCAATAATAATAATAATATTTTACTCTAAATGAACTTATGAATGAATTATTCTCTAATAATATTTTCAACCTCGTGAACAAGTGACTGCTTAAGGATTAGAATTGAGGATTTTTTGGGTGTGTTATTTAAGGAATTTGGGTCATACGATTGAAAAGCTAACAGATGAGGGTACTGATTAACGGATAAGATAAACGTATTTATAGCTTTGTCATGTGAGAGTTTAGTGCTGTAATCGTTACAAAAATCACAAATTATCGGAAGTGATGTATCATTCTAATGTCGCATTAAGTCATAGCTAGTTGAATTTTTTGATTAATGACAGATTTGTTAAATTTAGTTTAGAATTTGAAATATTGCATGTTTTGATGATTTGGGGTCAATGGCAAGTGACGTCAATTTTTGAAACCCTGTGCAGTTCTGTTTGTGTACCAAATCTCCCCTTAAATAGCCAAATCCACCTTCAGACTTTATTATCATCTGAGCATTGAATAAGAAAGTGACGTCGACATACGCAAAAGTTCAAAGGTGAAAATACATAATGAATGAACATATTTTTGATAATGAAAATCAGTTCTTATTGCTTCAATGTTTCATTTGATCAATATTAACTTGACATTTAGGAACAAGAAATATTGACATTTATTATTTTGTTAATCAAATGTCATACTTTGTGTTTGCAAGAAATTTACTTTTACTTTATGAATCAGACCAATATATCAAGTCTCTATGGGCTTGTAAATCATGAAGTATGTGATGATGTAAATATATCTTCTTTATGTCAATTAATAGATATCGGAAATTCCCTTTAAAAGCTTTGTTTCAAGCTAGTTTAGTCACTTAGAAACCAGACAATAAATTGATATGAACTGGGTAAACTTAGATTGAGTCACAGAAGATAACAAGCAGATGTAATAAAGTTTAATTGAATTTTTAGTTGCTAGGAAGGTTGTTTGGTGTCGTTAGATATATTTCATAATGTTATGACAGTAAAAGGCAACTTTTGTGGCAGAACATAGAATTCAAGGGTTAATTATGCAAATAGAAGCTTGAATAAGATTTAGGTAAATGGGATCTTGAGATTAACAATACAAAATTAGGATTTTAACCAAGGATCTTTAGCAACTTAGTCAAGGATTGTTGACATTTGTAAGGATAGACAACTTTAAGGAACAAGTGTGGGTTGGAGAGGATTCTTATAGCTATCCCATTCCCATCATCGAATAAACCTTTAACATTACGAACATTCAAACTCCAAACTATAGGTAGCTAATAAATACTCAATACTAGTAACACGTGACAATCCTAATATTCCAAAAATTGCAAAATTGAAGAGAAAATTTCGCAAAAAAATTCCCACATTCAGCAATCATTTGTTCACAAGGTGCCATTATGATTACCTACTGATGTCACTGATTGTATTTATATATTTACCTCTTTTAACATTATTATATTATATTCATATACCTTTAACGACTACAAAAAAAAAAGAAAGAAGAATAAGCAGCCAGAAAAAAACTGAAACAGTTGTAATGTAACTATTGTACTCTAATAATCATTATGATTACTAAAATTTCTACATGTGAAACAAAAATTTGTAGACACAAAAAAAAACTACAAGTTGTACAGCTTATACTAGTGCAGCAGATATGAAAAAATAATTTGTAAAATAAAATCCCTATGATGACAAGTTATTGAATTAATTATATAGATATACACATAATATACATTGACTATATATATTTAAAATGCAATATTATTATATAATAATATCAATCATATGTACACACAACTGTAATGAAAATCAATTTTATCGATCAAATCTTACTATTTTGTCCCTCCTCGTTTTAATTTATTTAAATATAGTATGTGAAGTTAATTAATAATTGATTATTATTATGATGAACTTGCCTCTCATTTTTAACACGAGTTTATGAGATAATAAAATTGATTAAATAAAAAAATCTATTTGTGAAAAAAAATGAAATTATCACAAAAATAAGAAGAAAATTTTTTATGGTGCGTTTCTTAATTAAATTTTTTTATTATTTTAATTACGCTCGCAATTGCGTTAATCAGCTTCTTTTTTGGATGATTTATATAGGTGAAGTAAGGTTATTTGAGCTACTTAATAGCATTATGATTGCGTAGTGAACTGTTGCTACTTTAAATTAAATTAAGCAACTAATATATGTGGATTATGAATTTATTTTTAACCTGAGAGATTAGGTGAGGTGTCAAACTTATATAAATGTGGCTATAACATTTCATTCTCATGGGAATGATTTCACCTTTTGGAAGGGTTGAATCAATTGCCATTTTTTGAAATGATAATGCACTGCCATAGACAGTTTATAATGCTTTTTGTCGGATGCATGTGCTGTTTATTATGATAGGTGCCACTCCTTTGCATAAAGTAATTACTATGCAATTAGCTTCTGTATTCATATTTTGTGTTTTGTTCATTTGGAAAAGGGGAGACGAACTGAATGTTAATGACTTAATGTTGACGCTTATTTATAGAATTCTAGTTATTAATAATCATTTGGTAAATAGCTTGATGAAGTTAAATTTAAATAACAATCTTTAAGTAATTTGAAGAGACTCAGACTAAGCAGCAGTCTGCAAATCTGCAAGGTGACTCTCTTACCGAAAGATCAATCTCTCATTAGCTTGTCAAAGTGACTTAACAGCAAAATCTTAAGAGATATGATCTTAAAAGATGGAGGAAAGACATTTAACAGAGTCTGGCGTAAAGAAATCCAACATAAGGACTCAAAATAAGATTTTCATTTTTTTTTATTAAAACTTTAAGATTATTCCTGAATATAAGCACTAAATTTGCAATTAAAGTTGTCAATGAGAATTATTACAGGAAAATTGAAGGATTTAAACTCAATGAAAAGATTTTCTGGTAATAAAAATAATCCCTGACTTTGCAACTTAGCTTTTCCTAGTAACATACAGATTACTTCTGTTTTCTCAGTTCTATACAGAATTACAATGCTTGTTATCACTTCCAATTTGTCAGAACATTGATAAGCTTTCAATACCAATTAATTACAAATGTCGAGCACAAACAGCATATGATGTCTTCACATGATGAAAAAGAATCTCTGTTGACGATAAGCTTCTTTTGTTTGCATATTCAATCCTTCTCTATTCCGTGCATGCAATGAAGTTATTAGTTTAAGTGCTGAGAGGAATATTTGCAGCAAAAGTGAGATTGAGTAAACGGAGAAACATTGGACGTGAGGGAGCAATTTAAAGTTTGTAGAATTTACTATTGTTGGTTTAAGTTTGGAATTTAGAGCTTTGAGGATTTATCAGCTTTAAAGTTCACGAGGAAATATTTGGGAATATGCTGGTTTTTTTAATTCAGGTCATTGGATGAACATCATTAATTAATGTCCCTGTTGTCAAAAGAATCAGAGTTAAATCCAAATAAGAGAGCAGAAGTAAAAACACAAATCCCAAAAGAACTCATTCATTCAGCACCAAAAGTTAATCCTCACCTTTTTAAAAATTCACATAAATCTTCATTAATAATTCCTAAGATAAAGGTAATTAATATTCACAAGACCCTGAAAATTTTTCATAGGAACAAAAATGCCTTTAATTTTTTTTATTTCTTCATCATTTTTCGTCTTTATTTTTATTAAATCATTCTGTTTTACATAAAAAGCATATAATATTGAACAAAAGAATCCTTTTTTTCCTTTTATAAGTTTTTTCATCATTTTTAAAAATTGGACTGCAATATAAGATGATAAATTAAATGTCATATATTAGATATAAAACTTATTGTTCACAAAAACAAATAAGATATTTTTTTTTTCAATAACTGCCTTACTTTTCTGACTACATTCTTTCAAAAGCTGTATAATATTAGAAAAGTGATTTTTTTGGTGAGATGGAAGGGTTTGTTGGAGACATTGGGTTGGATTTGTTGAAACTTTAACTTTTTAAAGAGTTAAATTAGATAAGTGTAGGACATTTCGACTATATTGGTTCCAATACTGCATATTTGATATTTTAATGACAACACAAGAACCAAATTGATCATTTTTGAGCCAAAGCTACTCTAATTGTTCCATAGCAACTCCCTTAGAGCCATAGTAACCATATTGGAGTAATGATGGTCTCCTGTGAGTCATAATGATCCTCAGGAAAAGTTAGTGACATTACTTAGCTTCTAAAAGCCACAATGACACTCTAGAAGTCATAATTGACCCTATTAGAGCCTTAGGGAACCTTTAACTTAAGAGCCTTAAGTATAATTATGAATCAAAAACTTATCCTTAAAATCATACCAATTACCATCATAATAAGCCCCAAATCTCACCTGAAAATCGTTAGCTTAAACATTGTGACTTGACTCGCTTATTATTTTTTGTTTCCAACATACAATTTTTCCATAAACAAAATGAAAATTGAATAAAAAATATCCTCATTAATTAAGTTATTGTTTAAGGTTTTAATAATTTTTTAATAAGTTTTTCATTTTCGGTACGTTGCAGATTTCTTTAAGCTCATTCGTGCATGATTTATGCGTAGTTTAAATTTTCCTCATGAATTACATAATTTCTTTGTTCAATCGTACAGTAGAATTATTTTTATTATTTTTTCTTTACATTTCTTTTTAATTATTGATTTTTCTTTGTCTATAATACTTTTCAATACAAATTGTGGATGCTTAACTTCCTTAAATATCATTTTTTTTATTATTTTGATGATGAGTTTCAACTTTTTCTTTTATGAACAAAATTAAACAATTTTTTATACCCTTCGCAGAAAAAAATGATGAAATTTTAAATTTTTATTATGTCCAATGGTCTTATAAAACTTTTCATTACAAAAACACATTCGTTCATCGCACCGGAATCAGGACAAATTTTTTATTTTTTTACTTAATTTAATTTACTATTTTAAATAACATTTTACGCACATTTTTTGACTTTCATAAATTTTTAAATTTCCTAATTTTTTACTTATTTTTTTTGTCATTTTGAAAAAGGCAATAAGTGTTCTTAATGTCATCTTAATTTAAGGTATTAAAATATATTTATATGTTGTTCATTTTCTCATTTTTCATGTTCACTTCTTTCACTTTTTTGTCCATGTTGATTCATCCCTTTAACAAAAGCAAGGACTTTTGCTTACTATGAAAATTTGTTGAGTCTTACTGAAAGCTATTTGCTTGGTGTCTAGCGAGAAATGTCGTAAACCTTTTCTTATTGAAACCATAAAGGTCTTAAATTCTCAGAATTATCAGACGTGACAGAACGTCAAATCATCTGATTTATGCTTTGTCCCTATTGAATAACTCAGAAGCTTTAGAAATTGTTTAAAAAGAAGGCAATGGTTATCGCTTGACAGCAATTTTTTTCATCTTCATTAATATTTTTCTCGACATCTTCAAATTAATGAATGTTTAGAAAGGATAATTGGAGCCATGTAGAAGTGATGTAGCTCATAAAGTAAATATTGTTTATTGATTTTAGATTAGCATCAATGATTTTATAAATATGGATAATTCTAGATGTGAGGATTACTAAGGATAACTTAAAATCTTTACTTCACATTGACTAATTGTTGTCTATGAAATATGAACCATATTTAGATGAATCTTAAAATTTGAATTCTTTGTAAAGTCGTGAGTTTGATTCCTCCTAAATTCGAAGATTTTTGAGATCTGAACTCTCATCCTTCATCATTTAAAACTCTTTACCTCTCACAATCAAAATAAACCCACCTGGAATTGATTTGATGTCCACTAATGGAAGTCTAATAGATAAGTCCCTCCAAAATCTAATAGAAATGTTTGTTCCTTCTTTGAAAATCTCCGAGATTAAAGAAGAAATTCATTTGAACTCAATTTGTGAGTTTAATGACTTCAATTTCTTCAATGTGATGACAGTCTTTTGAGACATTTTTCAGATTTAAGTCAGTAAACATTCTCAGAAATTTATAGAAGTACTTAGTAAAGAGGATCATGAGAATTGAGCAAAGAGGAGATAAAAGTTGAACATAATTTGAAGATTTCATGTGAAATTTCGAAGATTTTGATTTTTTGTAGGTTTAATCTTAAATAGAATCTTATCAAAACCACATAGGAACCTCAATTGTTATATATTAGACTTCATTAAGAGTAAAGACAATTAAGATTTAGAATTTAAGAAAATAAGCTCGTTTAAGAAAACAAAACAGCTTTCAATTCGAAGATCTCCTGTTCTTGAATTTATATATTCAAAATTATGTTAAGATAGGAATCGAACCTTTGATTTTATAAACAAAAGCTATTATCTGAAATAGAAGGAAAAATGTGGCTCACATTGACAATTTTCAAATTCCATCCCAACTCTTAACAATTCCAAGTTCAAAAAGCCACCAAACAACCCATATAAATTTCAAAGCCACTGCCAATACAGAAATCTCTCAGCATATTCAGTAAGACTTCCAAAAAACTTTCATTGTAAATTAATTTTATTACCCCATTTACTTTATTTAAGAAGGGAAAATAAGATTGAAAAGCGATACAGAAAAGAATAATTAAAAAGTCATAAAAAGCGGCATGTGGAAAAGAAAATTGTTTTTAAATTTTAATTCCTAATTTTCTAATTTGAGGCTTGAAGAGGAAAAAAAAGTTGCTAATTTTCCAACCAACAACAACAGAAGTTTTTATTTCAAAGAGGAAATAAAGTAATTAAAAAGTTTTTTTTTCTCTTATTTTTTTTTCGTGAAAAAGCTCATAAATTCCATCCTCGATACAATTATTTTCTTAGTGTTACTGTTTGGGTGTGGTTTGTAAATGACGTCTAGTTTTTGAGGATTGTGTTTCTGGAGTTATGAGACAATTCATAGTTAAAAAGTTAATTTTTTTGAAAACTTAGTCCACTCTTAGTCACTCTAGTTTGACACTCTTCTCTCTAACGGTATGAATTAGGACACTTGTAAATACACTCTGAAATAATCCTAGGTTTTACACAGAATGTATCTCCCTCGAGTGCCAAGCAGCCTCTGAGGGTAGCTAGAGGTTCTGAAAAATCTCATTTCATAATAGACATCATTCACGATCCATTCCCTTTATTCATCTTCACCACATGCTTTACGATAAATTATCTTTCATCATCATCATCATCTTATCTAAATTGGTTTCATTTACTTCTTTCCATTTTTTTCTTACTTTTTTTTTGCTTTAATACATAATATTTTTAATGTCTTATTATTAATTACTGTCTTACCAACTAAAATTCATTACAGTCACTGTACGAACAATTAGAAGCTTTACGAAAGCTTTTATCATTTTTTTTGCGATGACGCTCGTGCATTAAATTTCAGTTAATTTTGCCAAAGCGAATGAAGAACTTTTTCGTTATAAATTTTTTTTTCGGTGTGTGAATTTTTTTTTTATTTTATTTTGTTTATCCTTGATTGAATGAGTAGATTAATGCTATTGTATTACTTAATGTTCTGTGACTATTTCACTTATTCGCTTGGATTCTTGTTGATTTTTGATCTTACAAATATCTACAAAAATCCAATTTCTATCTCCAAGCACTAATCTTATATAAACAAAAAAATAATATTCGTACATTTTCTTCATATTTTTTCACAAACAAAATACATTTAATTTAAAAGGAAAAGAGAGTCATGAGGAAATTTGCAACTTCCTATTGTGTATAAAAAAATAAAAAGGGAATAAGGAATAAAGTTATAAAGAGATTCATAAATATTTTAATATGTATAAATGTTATTATAGACTTTGAAATTCATACATATGATCTTTGGGATGTGATGTTGCTCGCATTTAATTCAATTAAATTAAATCACCATTGAAATATTTTTTATGTAGGCTAGTAAGATCAGACAGGTGCTTAGTTGGATGTTGAAAGTCAATTTTAAAGAAAATAAAAATCAATTTTTCAGATTTTTTGAAAGTTTTAATTTTTTTCTCATTTAATCCTTTTCAAATTCACTTCCAACAGCCCTGTCCTGTTCCTCCCAACTTAATATTATCTTCATTATTTCATCATCAACAAAACAAATTTATTCTTAATTTTATTCATTTTTTGTTTTCCTATCCGAAATAAGAATGGACATTTTTTTTTGATTTATTTATCATTTTTAACTTGTTTTTATTTAAAAAATATTTATCTCCATTTTTCTTTAAACTCACTATGTCTGTGTGGATTGAATGCAAAGTTGAATTCTTTTTTCTATTCATTTATTCATAATTTGATTTAATAATTACAATTTTTTTTTGTCTTTCGTCGGCAGTTGTTAAATAGTTTTTTGTTATTTTATTATTATTCATAAAATACATTTACTGTGTGTTTTTTTAATTGAAATTTAATTATTTTTCATTCATGCTATACAAAGCTTTTTATTTCAACAGGTGTGTGGTATGGTTCTGGAGGAGGTTAGCTCTACAAATGGCAGAAAATGTTGGTGTGTTTTTGTGGAAAATTTGTTGGAAATGTTTTGAGTTGTTGACATTTTCATGCACTGTTGGTTTTTACTTTTATATTGATATTTAATTTGAATGACATGATGGGTCAGTTGTCATCAACTTTAGGGTTCAAATTAGTCTTGTGACATTTATTTTTATGGTTTTTGTTGGCATCAGAACAAGTTTGTAATGATTTTACGTTTCTGTAAGTTTAAAACTTCTCAAATCTTTGAATTTATAAAAGATAATGCTACCAAAATGTTCAAAATTGAAGTCCTGACCGTCAGAAAAGACCAGATGACCAAGTCATTGAGAATGTTGTTTAAAACAACGCTTCTAAGTTATCTTGACTCTAAACTAGTGATTGAAACTAGCTTCACTTCAACTTGACTCTAAGATGAACTTTTAAGACAGTCAATGACCAACCCAGATGACAATTTAACCCAATAATCTCAAAACACCCCAAAAATCTTAAACAAAATCTCACCAAACCTCCCCATTTAATAGAACCAACCTCATCCATACGTGTATTATAGAAAAAAAAAATCTAGTTTCAATTTCTAAAACTTTTTCTCTTTATTAAACTTGTTTTTTTTTTATGTTTAAGGAAATATGAAAATTTTATTTTACTGATGATTGAAAATTCATTTATTTTGAACACAAATAGCATTTCCTATAATATCATCAACACGAGATTCTTTTATATATTTTTTTTCTCCATTTACAAACAGAGAGAACTGACAAAAAGAAATGAATATTTTATGAAAAAAGTTCTCAGTGACATGCTGGCTTGAATTGTGAAAAATTAAATGATATTTTTTTCTGTTTCATGTTCAAGTCGAAAGTTTTTTTTGTTTTGTTGCGAAGTTTTATGTTTTTCATTATTTTTCATTTTGAATAAACTGACATTAATTAATTATTTGATGATGTAGTTCATTAAACGGTGGTTGTTGTATTGATTGATGCATGGAGGTTTAGTTGCTATAGGCAACGAAAGAGTTGTTTGGATATTATTGAGATTGGTTAGGCATTAGGTGACGTTTAGGCTGAGATTGTTAAATTTTTATGAAGTATGAGGTCATTCAATAAGCAATAATAGTGCTTAGAACCTCTTTTTTATTGTAAAGCATCATTAACTCTTTTTTTTTTGATGAAACTATTGTCTCTAGACTATAAATCAAGCTTGGTAGCTTCATTTTCAGTCGATTTGATATGAAAAACTGTTAAGCAAGAATTCCTCAACTGCCAAGTTTTGAACCAATGACCGTTTTGTGGGTTGTCGCAACATTTGACTACCAAAGTATTAAATCAATACTCCAACGAGCTACTGTAGCTAATTAGCATTCAAGAAGCTACTTAAGTTATTAAAATTCATGTTCAACAATATGTCATTGATTTCACTATAATAATCCTACTTTCACATCCCACATCCCTAACTCGCAGTCAATATATTCACCATAAAATGAACATCATCATCATGATAATTATTAAAATTTTATGCATTCGATATGTTTTCCATTACTATTAATTTTTCATTTTGTGTTTTGTGTATGATTCATTCTATGATTTCAGAATAGTTATTTTGTTTGGTATCATTACGTCCATCTGTTTATATCAATATTATCGTACGCTTAATTAAATGGAATTAAATTATATTTAAAAAAAATTATTTCAGCAAAAATTAAAAATTATAAAATAGAATTTGAATGAATTAGTCGCTAACTATCGAATTTAGAGTTTTTCTTGTTTGTTTCTGCACACATTTCACATACATACACTATTCTCATCATCATCATCATCGTCATAGTAATTATTATACTTGAAGATTTTTCATATTCATTAGTTGTTGACTATCGACATATTTTTTTTTTGTTATTATGTATGTTACCTATTATCATCAATATCATCTTCATCATCGGTCTTTTATAAATCTATTCATTCTTAATACAAAAAGTATGTTGAAGCAAAGAGAACTAATGATGTGATGAGTGATGGCAGTTGGTAAACATTAAATGTTGTTGCTGTACTATATGAAACACGGATGTCACTCTCCTCGATAAATGGACGATCGATCACGTGAATAATGCCGTTGGTACAAATCACATCCGAACGGAATACATTAATCTTTTTGTTGTTCCAGGTTATCGAATATCCTGCAATAAGAGGAAGAAAAGAAAGAAAAAAATTATGTTAGTGATTGAATGTGGAAAGTTTTTCATTTCTGCTACTGCTATATACTTATAAAGGTTAATATAAGATGTTAGGAAGGGATTAGACACTTTATAGGGATATTGTAGGTTTACTGACACACATTTGAGTTAAAATTATTTTAATAAATGTTTTTGAGTAGGTTGGAACTGTAAACTAGAAATTAAATAGGTTTGAGACATTGATTATCAGCTTCTTGGTCCAAAAAAGGGAAGATTTGTGATTCCTGGTGCTTACCACAAGAGCAAAGCACACGATTTTCTCAAAAGAATGAATTAGAGTGCCCTAGATTATATCCTTAAGCTACATCTTTTAGATCAAAACCTTTAGATGTCTTAAAATGCTTCAAGGAACCAACCAGCACTTTAAAAATTAATAGCAATTTTTTTTAACTTCTTCTTCCATCACTGTTGTAGTTTGAACATTAAAGACCCCTCTCAACCTAATGAAAATTAAAGTATAGTCTTACGTATCAATTCCAAGTCTTAATACAGCTTTAACATATGTATTTAGATCTCTTCAGCTTCCCCGCAGTCTACTGCTTCTTAAAAAGATTTGTTTTAGTAAATTACACGAAACAAAACTTTTCGACCCCTCAAAACAAAGTGTCTAATCCCCCCAAACACATTAAGTATAACTATTAGAAAGTTTGTTATTTGGCCTATATAATTTTTTTAGAAAAAAACGATATTGATATGTCTACATAATGTAATAATAATGTATGAGAGATGTTCCATTACATTACAAGACGGCGAGAGAAAAGAAGGAATGAGAAAAAAATAATATAAAAAAGTTTTCCATTTGTGACACAGAAAAAAGAAAGAAGAAAATTCTACTGTGACGTCATATGCCATATTGTGCTTCATATTTTGGTGCAATTTTTCACTTAAGTGCCAAGAAATTATTGTAAAAATACACATTTTTTTTTGTAATATTACACATACAAAATGTTGCCACATTTATTTATTAAAAATCAATAAATAATGGTGCGTGCCTTCATATTTCTAGTGTGCTTATTACTTACAATGCGTGCTAATAATGATTCAATAAACGTTTACAAATATGTGCAAAAAAATATGTTGTATATGTGCTCAATTTAGATAACAAATCGTAAGTAAGTTGTAAGTCATAAGACAGCAAAAAGTTTCTTCCAAATGATGCCGCAGTTAAATACGAGGGTGGCATTTCTGAACACGAAATAACTTTATATTCATACTTAATAATTGTAGGAAGAATATTTTGCTAATCAATCAAAATGGAAGTAAATTTTTGTGCTGTCTATGGCAATAATAATCATAATCGTAATGAATACTCGACTGAGTCAATAGAAATCAAGATAAAATTGGTTGTATTAAGTGCTTTGTCAGTTATTTTTATGTGCCAATTCATATGTTGAATATGAGATTTTTGGGGTAATTGAGAGGTTTCTTGTTGGATTATAAGCTTCAGTGAAGTTATTAACAATTGTTGGACTGAAATCTCAACCAAAAATCCTCATCTCAGTTGAGATTCGAACTTTGGGTTCTTGGTCAAAATTGAAGTATTCATTATCCAAAGACTTAAGACAATTACTCTACAAAGCCTCGTTATTTGATAATTAAATAACAGCTTAAATTTCTTTAAGAACTTAATTATTCAGAGAGTAGGAGGTAGATAGATCTTCATGAATTAATAACATGATTTCCTACAAATGTTCCTCTCAGACATAGACAAACAAAACAATTTAATTTATTTCAATTCTCTTTGAATCGTCAATTTCAATTATATTTTTTTCTGACTTCACTTTAAGATGTCTACATTATTAATTCATTTCAAGTCTACCATATCCTTAATAACAATATAAAGATAGAAACTTTTTATCTTGTCAATCAAAAGTCATTTCTATATAGAAATCCGGAAGCTTATTCGATAGCAAGAAACAATTGCAAAATTTTTATAAATCTGCCGGAAAAATTCAATAATCAACATCTACATCCTTTCATTTATTGATCAAATTTTCTCCCCTAATTTCCTCATTATAGCTTAATACTTAAACATATTTTTTTTTGTCTATAAATTCATTTTCAAATATGTTTTTGGCACTAATTCATAAGAGTCTGAAAAGGGCATAAAGCCATTATTGATAATAAAATATATTTTTTATAACCATCGACGTTATTGTTATTTTGTGTTCAACCCCACACCTCATTCAGAATTTTATTACGGGGCAGTGAGGCATCAAAACTCATTAAATCAAATAATGTTTATTATGTTGAATGTTGTTTCAGACATTAAGGATGTTTTAATCAGTATAGATTGGGTTTAAGTGATATTTGAGATATTGTGGATTGTGTACTCGTCTGCTTGGTCATGGATTTGTTGGGAGTTGTTTGGCTGTTAGGTGACGTCAAGAGAGAATGTGTAGTGTCTTAGTTAAGGGTGGATAATTGAGATTTATGATTTTTGAACTAAGATTTAAAGATTTGCTAGGGGTTTTTGAGTCAACAGACTTGTTCCAATGTCTTTCCAGTCAAGAACATTGATCTAGCCAAGAACTTGAATTTTGAATCCTAAAAATCATTCCTTCATCGCCAGAAGACAAGTTTATTCAAGTTTATCAAAGTTTTCAAAATTTTCCATACAACTACAAGATCCAGAAACGCGTAAGACACTGGAAATTCCAAGTTTAAACATCACCGAACTCCCAAACAGCTCCCATCAACAAACAAATGAATGAAGTTTAAACAATCATGTAATTCACATCTCAATTTTAATGTTTTATGTAGACTATGGATTATGAAATGTATATTCATGTAACTAGAGTACTGATAATCATTAAATTAATTTTCAATAACTAAAAATATGGCTGAACATGCTTATTGATGCATAATTTGCGCGAACAAAAATAATAACGAACGATAATGAGATGGGTAAAAAATTTCAATTACTACTTGACATTTAATATTTTACTAGAAATTATTATTTAGTTGATTGGAAGTAGATTATGTCTTTAGAGAACAAATAACTGTATGAGTTGAGTTTTGACCTGCATAATATTTATGATAGCTTATGTTATTGAGTAGGATAATGCAGCATTATGAATGTTGAATGGACATCGTATTTATATAGTATAAAAAATATATACGAAGAAACATATGCTGTGGATACTTCTCTAGGGATGGCATGAACAAAATTCAATGAATTTGAATCTATTTAGCCATATGGAAGGATTACGTAGTTGAACGACTTGATATAGTCCTTCTTGGAATAGTTTGATATAAATTTTATTATTTTATTGTGAATAGCTTTATGTGGAAGTTTGTAAGGGTGTAGCCTTAATAGACTTAACTTTGGTTCTGGAAGAATTAAAAGATGTCGAGTTTTAGGATGTCTATTAATAAGACTAGACTAGCTTAAGGTCATGATAGTCATAAAACACTTAGGAAACATTCCATAAGAGTGTGATTTTCGACAAAGCAAGAAGGGGTTTAAAAATGCTAATTTATAGTTGACATCATTTCTCAACGACTTCTTAGAAATTGAAATTAGTCGAACCTTAGTCGATATATTCAAAATTATTAAACACCAACTTAGTCTTCATTATCAAAACCTCCTCAATCCTCAGTTATTTGTTCACCAAATCCACATCATCCAAATAACTTCAGTAAACACATAATCAGCTTAAACTCGAATAAGGGTCGAGACATCAAATTTGTTCATTCTAACGTGTAATCATAATCGATATAATTCATACTGAGTGAGTGTAAATATTTATGTGAGAAAGAGATTTTATTTTTTGAGAGACATTGTGAGGATTTTGCTTACCGGGACGAAACTCACTAAACGAATAATCATCCTCCGCTAGATTAAAAATATTTTTTTTTGGTATATATAAAATTACAATAAAGTCATCAAAAAGTTGTGTTTTGATTTTAAAAAAGTTCTCAAAAAAATGATAAAAATTTAAATTATTGTGTTAAAAAAAGCCCAGTCAATAAAAATTCATGCATGCATTTTATCCTCATTTCATTTTCCATCAATTCAAGTTTTCTCAAGCGTAAAAAGCTTCACAAAATTGTTTCATTTTATAAAATGAAATGGAAAAGCATCAACATCATGAATATGGATGTATGAACAACAGACAGTAAGTGAGATGGGGGTAAATGAGTTTAATTTGAGGATATACTTTTTATTTTTGGGGAAAATGATGATGAAGTCTCAGAACATCACAATAAAATTTATGCATGAATTTTCGGATTACAAGAGCTTATTGATTATTATGATGGTGAATTTGATTTAATTCGGAAGTAATGTTTTGTTGTTGGACTCAGAGTTGTTGTGGAGGTTTGCAGGGGTGATGAAAGGGTTTAAGGTGACTTTAGGCATAAATGGAGCGGCTTTGTGCTGATTTAAAAGTTTAATCATTTCAGAATCGCTCGAAATGATTGGTAATAATTGAATCGTTGGTTATAAATCCCTCAAATCATGGTTTTTGTAGCCGCAGCTCAAGCCAACCCTACTTAAAAATGCTAAAGTGTTTTTGAGATACTTTAAGTCATGCAGGATCAGTTTTTAACACAAATAATGATTTCAGAAGCTGAACTATAAATGTTTTATGATTTTTAGCAATCTGAGCATACATGGCAAACTTATAATTAGAGTAGGTCGAAATTGGCGCCAAACTTCACTATATCGACCTTGATACTACTTGAGATGAAGAAATTCTGAACTTTTGGTAAATTCTTGAGTATTCTTAAAGTTCTTAACAACTCTAAGCTACAGATTTAAGTTAATAAATACACTAATTTGCACCCGTACCCAAACACACCCAAAGATTCCCACCGTCCACCACAAAACAACTCTGTCCAACAAACAAAAGCTCGTTAGTCTGTTTATGATTATTCGATAGTATATCAAAAAAATACAAAATGAAAATCAAATTTCAATGCAAAACGATACAAATGGTTATATTGTGAATTTGGCAATAGTAATCACGTACATGTACATGTGTGTATGTATGTTTGTGTGACAATCGGATAGAAAAAAAAATTATTATTAAATTATTCAAAGTCACTCGAGAGTCTCTGTGTTGTGATGAAAACAAAGAGTTAAATGCCTTCATTTAATTTTCAGATAAAACTTTTATTATATTCAGCAAATTTTATTGAAAATGAATTGAAGTGTCATTGAAAATAATGTTAAAATAAACATAGACAGATAAGAGGGATGTAGGAGATGAGAGTAAACATAAATTGAGAGATTTTAAACAGTTTTAAAGGATTTACTGAAGAGAATGGAAGGAACAAACTATATAGAAAAATAATCGATATGGAGATGGATGGATGGCTGGTAGATATGAGCATATTTATGCAGGAACACACTTTGGGTGAATTTTAAACGAAGGCTGTAGATTGAAGCTTGAAGGAATAATTTTTGGGTTTTGACATTTTTCTGAATAAACAATTTGGAGGACTTATTGGATGAATTGGGCAGGTTATAAAAATCCGGTAAATTTTTTGAATTTCACAAAACTATTAACAATTTAAATTCTACAAAACCGTTAGCAATTCAAATTTTACGGAGCCGTAAAATATTCAAATTTTACAAAACCGTTGAATTTTTTAAACTTCATTTCATTTAAAATTTCTCAATCTCTTTAAGAATCTCAATAAAATTATTACTGAACATTCAAACGGAAATAAAGGAAATCACAGACCATAAAAATCTCAATAAATTCATCATGAAAATAACTTGAAAAGCTTTAAAAACCAGAAGGAAAAATTTATGAATTTCTTCTTTCATCAAATATTTACAATACCATTCAAATCGATATAATAAAATTTTTCCATCCCCATTTCCGTTATTCATCTCATCATCTTATTCATTCAATTCTGTGATTCAATATAAAAATTTTTCTTTTATTGTAATTGACTCGTTTTGATTTCAAGACGAGATGAAAATATGAAAATCATTTTGTTTTTCGTGGTGTAAAATTCTCATAAACTTAATGATGTGTGATGACGAATTTACAAAAGAGCATAAAAAAAATCACGAAATTAATGACTCAAAAAAAAAGAATTCATATGAAAAGTGAAAATGTGAAAATAATTCACAAATAAATTTCAGATATGTACGAATAATATCCATAAATTTTAAAGATATAAGAGAAAAGAAATATATTTACAGAAGAGATAGAAGAGAAAAGTACAGAACAGAAAGAAGGAAATAAATCAAGAAGAAATGTACATAAAAATTTTTCATAAGGAGGAAGAAGCTTTCAGGGAAGTAAGAACAAAAGATTCGTTGAGAAAAATTGAAGACTTTTGTGAAGTTGGAAAGAACTTTTTTTTGGTGATGAAAAGGATTTTGTAAGGTCGTGTTGAGAAAATATTTATGAAATTGAAAAAGCATCAAAAGTTTGTTTACGGATGAGCATTAAGATACAAATTCTCCTTATTCTCAAGATGAACTGTTTTCGAAAGACCCCTAGGATGGACTTAAAACAAACATAACGCAGATTTGAGCGTTTTACTGAAAAGAAATGCAAAGCTTATGAAAAAGGTTCAAATCTCCAAATTTAACTGTTTAAGCAAGACCCTTTAAAATTCGAGTTCAAGATCCCCAGGGCATCTAAGCCCTATCTTAGAATTGAAAATTAACAACTTTGTGTTTATCAAAATTGATCATGACTGGCAAACGATACATTGAGTACCCCAAGTGGAACTTAAAAATCAACCGATGAAAGCGTAGACTGTCTAGATCTCTTGACAATCTAAATTCTTGACTTGTAAGCTTAAACTGAAGATTGAAATGCTGAATCAGGGCAACAAAATTACTAAGTAAGCATAAAAATATTATGAAATAGTTCCAGTCAAGTTATGTGTTCCTACATGGTGTGACGAGCTGGAAGCACTATGATCCCGATTGATCTTAAGAACACTGAAGTTGATTAGCATAAAAGCACTCGAAGGACAAAAATCCTTCTTCAAAATTATCTCAATTTTCTCATGATCAAACTTTCTGCATCTAAATTTAAGAATCCCAATTGCTGGTCTTTCAAGGACCCAGCCTTAAATCCCAATCAACACTTCATTACCAAAAAAATAAAAAAAAATTCTCATCACACTCCACAAAAGTCCTTCATCAAACAAAAGTAGTACGATGTAAAAAGAAAGGAGGAGGAAATAAGACAAAAGAGTAAAAGTCAATTTGTGTTACATTGAGGTATGAATAAGTTAGTAAAGAGTACAATTCAGTGAATATATAAAGTATAAAAAGAATGTTCTTTGAGAAAACAATAAAAAAAAGAAGGAAAAACGTGCCAAAAAATAAATATACTTACGCTTATCGTGCTCGGTAACTCTAATCTTCAATTGATCACGAACTGGAGTTAAAATAAGGGCGTCAGTTGTGATGGACATATTTTTTAAATCACCCATTGTAAAGATACGATCGCTAACAATCAAGTGTCGTTCTAAAATCGAATTTGCCTGAAATAATAAATTACATAATAAACATTATTGGACAGTTTACAACATTAATCATAATATAAAGGGGGTCACTCACATGATAAGAGAAGTCGGGCATGAAGAGTTTTTTGTAGACTGATGGAAATTCGTTCTCTAAGCTTCTCCAGGCCTTGTCACGTGGCACAAAGTATGTGTAGCGAGCTGATGTTGCATTTAATTGATCATTAAATCGGTTGCGTGTTCCAAGCCAGAGAGTGTCGCTGAAATAATGAAAAGGGAAAGTTTGTGGATTAAATTTTGGTTTTAATGATGGTTAAAGCGCATTTTTCTGGAAGTAAGTTCTTGCTGTGGACTCGATGAGCCGTAGCTAATTAGCAGGTGACTCTATTGGCTATTGCTGAGTTTTATAGTGAAAAACGTGGATTAAACACCAATCTAGTATCTGTTGTGCTTTAATCACCATTAAGAGGCAGTTCCAAGATGTCTTTCCTGACCACAGCCTTTAGGTTCCCTAATACTACAAGGGTCAGCCAAGGAAGCGACTAGACTATAACTATGACTCTATTCTATTGAGTCATTGCCACTTTATGTCAACATAAACTGTTTGAGTGGCTGTCTAAGATCCATAATATACCCAGTATGTTGCCAAATCGTCCTCAGTGTCAAAACACGACTTTCATGTGAGACTCCAAATTAAAAGTTTAGCCACAGCTGCTTCTGGGATACAAAAGTGTGCTTCTAATATATAAATTGGCACCCCTCATAACAAAAGCCACAAAAGCATCATCACTTCCCATAAAAATGCTCTTGAATATTTTTTTCCTCGATTAATTTATGGATAAGACGTGACATTAATGAGAAGTACTTCATTAACAAGGCATCCGCCCTAATTTTTCTTTATTCTTTACTTACTTCAACATTGGATCAGACTGTAATTTCTCCAAGACCGATGTATATGGAACTCCAAGAACGTGGTCGATGATGTGAACGAAGCCATTTGTAGCGGCAATATCAGACTGAATAATTGTTGCATTAACACCGCTACCCTCAACCGTTATGGTCTTCTCGTCGCCTTGATTCATTACGTTAAAGTAAAGGAACTTCTTGTCGACATTTGTTGGTACTTGAATAATCTGTGGGAAAGGTAAAGAGAAGAAAGATGTAATAATATGCATAAAGAACATCGACGAGCCTTTTTTTCAATTCCTTGATAAAAAAGGAAGGTCTAAAAGGGATGAAAGGAAAAGAAATTGCGATCCTTATTTTCGCACATACTTGATTGTTGTTGGAGCGTATCTTTTCCGCACTGTAGCGTTCACTCACAAGATGTAGATTCAAGATCTCTCGCATTTTTTGTTTGTTGCTGTTTTATTCAGGAATAAAATATTTTTTTTGCACCGTCGTTGTCACAATCATTGTCGTTCATTGTGTTTTATGGAAGGAAAGAGAAAAAGAAAAGAAAAAAATTATTTATGATAAAGAAAACAAATGCTGTGCTCATTTTTGAGTAGAAAATCTGTTTATGTTTGTAGATTTTCTAGGTGGCTGGAAATGTAATTGACTTAAAAAATTTAGTTGAGGAGTTACAATATTGAATAAAGATTGTTTCAACGTGGATTGATAATTTATGGATATTGTATATAGGAGTAAGCATGCAGCATCAAATAAAAGGGGAAGAATTTGTTGTAAATTTTGGTACTAAGTTCCAATCAGAGTTGCGAAACAGGTCACCTGTGACAGGTGAGAACCTTTCAATTCCTTGATAATTTGTATGGTTTTGTTAGAAAAACCTTATAAATTATCAAGGAATTGTAGGGTTCTCACCTGTCACAGGTGCCTGTTTCGCAGCTCTTGTTCCAATTCTGGTTTAATTATTACTAAGGACGATAAAAACGCTACTAATGACCATGAACTGTAAGATTAGACACATACTGCTACTAATTGTTATATAATCAATTATAATGGGTTTGATGGTTGTGTTCTAAACCTTAGAACTATCTAAAGTTGGTAAAGACTGACAAATGGATTCCAAACTTAGAATACTTCCAATTAGATGCTCAGGTAAGCCTTATGAATTCCTGACTAAATGTTAATTACTCTAAATACCATAAATGCAATTACACTAACCTAAAGGTCAATTATGACCCAACATTTCTATATTCTATCCTACAAACATCACAATAAGAATCTCACAATCTCTCAATTCTCATAGTTTAATAGTGCATGTAATTGTGCTAATAAAAATCTCGGCACGTCTCAAATTGTCCGAATAAATAAAATTTTCATTCGATTCGCACAGAACGTTTGTTAAGTGTAAGAATTTAGGACTTAAATGGGAGATGAAATATGCCTTTACTTCTTATTGTGTATTTTTCAATTCATTCGTGTATATTTATGTGTTTGTTACGCCTATGGACATGAATAAAAGGGGATCCTTACTTTTTCTAATCGTTTTCAATTCGAATGTAAACAGAAATAAATAAATAAATGATGTAAAAGTTCCTACGTGAGTTTGACCATCCCAAACAGGAGCTAAAAGGCATTCAACAACAATTTTTTTAAAAGCTTTATGTATTTGAATTAAACCCATATCAACATGATCATCTTTATCTATCTAGCCGTGTCTATCGTGTCATGTTCTACTGTTGACATAATGCTGGTCAACGTTTGCTTACCTTAGATCGAATGGTCCACCGCTGATTCATTTTTTCAGCAGTCGATAGAACACATTATTTATTTTTTCGAGGATAATAAAAAAGAAAGAAAAAAGGCAACGAGAGTGGTCAATAATCTTGTCAATACACATAGAATTATGTCAGCATGCAGTAAGGATTTAGGGATATATCAAAATGAATTATCATCATTATGTAATTTCCTCGTGTGCTTCCTGTCGTTGATTAAAGGAATTTCATTTGATTTTTCTACTTAAAGTTTGCCGAAAAACTTTTTATATTGGGTTATGAATTTAATTACGGACTATACACGAAGATTGAGATGCTTTCATCTGTCGACATGCCAAAAGAACATTTCTTTACGTGAGGAAATGAACGAACTTTAATATTGAATTTCCTAACATTAGCCTTACATCTGTCAATTTCCTAGATTCAATTTTGAAGGCTAACGATATCATTACTCTGCTATCTGATGACAAGAAGGCCTATTTTTTATTCGAAAATATTGATTTTTGTGTGTTGGGATGTTGATAAGTGATGTCCATCCCATATTCTTATATGAAGTATGGCTAGATTGTAGCGGAGTCAGGAGAAGTCAATTAAAGACTAGCTATCGACTTACAGAGTGTCAAAACTATAGAATCTAATTCTTCACCATCCATCGTAATCATTGGGCATCATTTAAAAACAGCCCCCATCACAATATTGCTCTTTCACAATTCACTGAGCACCAAAATTCATTCATCTTTTTCTTCCTATTTTTAGGTGTAACGAAAAAAAGCTCATTGAGCCTATTGTACGTACAACAATCACTTCTTATTTATTTTTCAATTCCTGCTAAATTTGTCATTCAATGAATGAATGAGAATGAATGGAAACTATTAATGAGCTTTTGTATATTTTCGTACTTCATCACTTTTGTTATTGGACTTAAAGCAAAAAGTACAAAAGCGGAAGCAGAAGCTCAACGAATCGTAATTAAATGCTCATGTTTTACGAGAATATTTAATTTATGTGACTAGTAAAAATTGGGTTCATTTGATAAATTTTAATTATGCATAATAATTAGATTAGATAAATCTTGATCAGAGAAAGTAGGGTACGGCATGTGAATTGTCGTTGTGATCTCAACATAAAAAAAGATTAAATACGCTGTGATTTATAGCCAGACTTGTTTATATTTTATTATTTTTTTTTGGGAAATTTATTGTTGACAGAGAGAAAAGAAGAAGATTTAAATGACTGCGATAAAAGATTTTGGCATGAAAAGGGTAAAGGAATTAACCTTTTGAAAAAAGAGAGAAGATTTTGTAGGCTTGATCATGTAACATAAAATGATAAAATACAAAGGCTTCGGAATGGTTTGGGAGGGTTTGTTCATTAATGATGGGTGTTGTAAATGGAATTGAGAGACGTTTACTGATGATTTATGTTTTACATCATTTTTGAACAAACCTCATTCCCCTAATAACATTACTCAAATGAAATATTTCTATCAATTTGCATTACAATTTCAACTAATTCCATTGAATAAATTTCCCTATAAATTCTATTAATAAATTACTCTACTAAATTGTTATCCATTATTCCGAAAAATATTATAAACAGATATCATAAAATTAGTTGAAGATGTAACCAATCTCATCAGTTATTCAATTAGCATTTATGGCAATTATTTACTCTCTCTTGTTGTGCGTCCCATCATCCCCTAAGTAAGCAATCAAGTTAATTCATTACGATGAGAATAAAATTCATTGACTTTGAAAGTATGTAAATACTTTAATTTTGATTGTTTTCTTGTTGGCTGCTTTAAGAGTTTTGTAAGTTGATATAATTGGATTATGGTGGGAGCTTGTAATTAAGTTTGAGGTGTTTTTATGTTTAATTCTATTAATTTTTGGAAGCTGTTTTGGAATTTCTTTTGGAAAAGTTTTGGAGGATTATAAATTGAAATTAAACAAATTTTTTGGATTTTTAAGGATATTGTTGGATTATAGGATGACTAGAGTCTCTAAAATAGCTAAGAATCTAGAAAATTGAGGTTTATCTGGTTAAAAATCTAATCTAATGCTTGAAATCTACTTTAGATCAGTTTTAGTCATTAAAGATTAGATTTGATAACAAATTCTTCGAAAATCTACACAAAAAATCTTAATTGTCATCCAAAACTCTTAAGCTGCTCCAGCATTCTTTAGTCAAATTCAACAAGTATTTTTAACAACCAATTCCAATATTTTAATTACGAAAAATTAACCTAAATCTCATTTTCATTCCTTATCGTCTTCAATTAATTTTAATAAATTGCTCGCTCTGAAAAACTTTTTAATATTTCTCACTGAAAACCCCAAATTCAAAGCCTGAAGCTTCATAAAATTTCTCAAAATAATTACAACAAATCCGCAAAGAGAATCAAACATTTCCGTTTGATTTGATTATTTATGAAATCGATAAATTTCAGCTGCTGCTTTCAACAAATTTTCTCATTCAATATCGAGTTGTTTGTGAATGTATAGCAGTAGAATTAATTAAGATTTATTACTTAACAGCAATTTATAATTGCCATTTCAATGTGCAATTAATTATTTTTCATTATTAGCAGCTCGTCCTGTTTCATTCAGTTGAATGATTTATTTAATGGTGTATAAATTTGTGGGAGTTTAAGTCTTCATGGACATCAATTCAATTAAATTTTTATGATTGCAATACTTACGCCAAGATATTTCTAACTTCTGGACGATTCCATGCTTCATTGCTTGGTGCGAATAATGTCACATCTCTCATTGAGTTGATTGCTTGCATGAATTCACCACCAACGTCCATAATTACTTCGTAGAACTTGAAAAGTGGACCATCTTCCTTTTCCTATTTGAGAGAAAGAAGATATTTGATTAATAATTTTTTGTCAAATTTTTTTAAAGAATTCTGAATTTTTTTAAAGTCTTTAGGATGCAAAAAATATAAAATTTTGTAAATTCAAAGTTTTCAAATCAAAATACTTGCATAAGAAAATTCAAAGCTTTGGTCATTTTAAAGGAATTCAATTTTCGATGGTATTAAATTATTAAAAGAATGAAACTAGCTACAAACTCTTCAAGACTAATTCAAATCACCAAGTTTATGAATCTAAATACTCAAACTATTGAAATTGCAATTGAATCAATCAAGATGATTTAAATTCTAAAGGTTTACATCTGACCTGCAAGTCTACATTAACAAATCCACTAACTTCAAGTTCTATCCTAAATTTCAATCTAATCATCACAAATTGAACCCAAAAAGCTACTTTAAAATTGATATAAACGACAACAAAACTGTTTGTTGGACATTACATACATTTTCCTTTAACAAAACAAATTACAAACCCTAAAACAGACCATCCCGTCTTTAACGAGACAACAAATGACGATGGAAGAAAAAGAAATTAAGGAAAGGAACTTTTCTTGTGGAAAATTACCCATTGTGTAGACATTTCCTCAAACAATCTTCTCATTCCATCCCAAAAATAAATTGTCTCGGATAAAAGTTATCATTTCTCTAAATTAAACAGTATAAAATGACCATAACTTTCATTTCCTTTTTTTTTGTTGCTGTTCCTTATATCCTAAATCATACCATTGAGACTAAACAAACACAAATAAAGAATGAAATTGTATAAAAAATATTTTTTAAGGTATAGGATGATGGAAAAAAGTGTGTAGACAATATGAAACAAATGAACTGGAATTCTAATGAGCTTTTTTGGGGGTTGTTTGCAAATGATGTCTTGTTTTTGGTTTTTTGATTTTCAAACATGATTTTATATGGTTTTAGAGTTGTAATGAATTGACTTTTATCCCTAGTAAGAGTGTCAGGGTGTCTTGTTGATGTAGACCAACTCTCAAATGGCTAAACTACATTGTTTTAGTCAGGAAGGTAAGGATGAAGCTCATGATGCTTACATGAAGTCTTGATGGACCTCTTGAAACTAAGCAATGTGACGCTAATCATCCTCAGCTTGACATTAGCTTTCCTTGCGTCTTCCCAAATATTACACATCATTTGCGAACAAACCCTCTTTTGTAATGTACAAGATGAAAAGAAGCATTTGATGATTCATTCAGCGGATGTGTATTCACAAATGTAATTTAATGATACAAAAAAAAAGACGAGCGAAAGAAAATGTTTGATGTAATGGAAATTTCTGAGAAAAATAAATCACACAGCATATCCGAAAGGAATGAAACTTTTCTTCCTTCCTTTATACTCTAGACTGTTTGTTTTTCATTTGAAGCTTTATTTTTTTCTGTGTCGAACTTCTACGTGACCGTAAAACTATTAAATCAAAAGTAAAACGTGTTCTTCATTTCCATGTTTGTATGTTTAAGACTTTCCCAATTTCTAAGAGTCTGTCTTCGTTCACAGAAATGGTTTTTTTTATGTTGAGATGATAGAGATTCACATTCAATAAAGATGAGACAGCTTCGTAATAGAATTTGAGGGGTTGATATTTCTTATTTTTTTAGGAAGTTTGGAAAGCTTATTGGATATTGAAGATAGTGTAAGAAAATTGGGGATCTTTTTTGAAAGTTCTAGATCAAAACAGATTAAAGGTATCTGAGTTGAATCGGAAGTACAGATTTGATGATACTTTGACACTTTTTTGTTATAGACTAGATTGTTTTTGAGAAAATCTTTTGATTTTCTGTGAATTTGTTTATTTGATTTGATAGAGCGTAATCAATGTTGAAATGTTGAGCATCAAAAACCGTATAAATTTAAAATCTACAAAAAACTTCGCCATTTTGAATTTTCTTCACTAAAAGATTTATTTTTTGTAATTTAAGCCAAATTTAAATGAAAACTCAGAACTAATCACTAGAATTGATAGAAAAAGATGGCAAGAGTCTATAAATGAACAAAACTTAGTAGTTTGAGCCTAAAGAATCAAGTAATTCGGCGATATTTACAACAATCATAAATATTCCCTGCAAATCCCCACAAAATACACAAGTTCCAACCTCAGATTAGCTTAAAAAGGAAATAAAGTTTCAGCACAAACACACAAAACTGCACAAAAGATGAACTTTTCTTTCTTATGTACAATATTGTGATGATAATGATTATGATGATGATAATGTAAAATTTCACATGTTCCATATGAAAATGATGAAAAACAGAAGTATGAAAGAGAATGGAAAAAATATTTTGGCATGCAAACTGGATTGTTAAGACATGTGAATTTGAGTTTATATTTATATTTCATTTAAAAGAATGCAAGGATGCATGAATTTCCCAGCCGTAATACGTGAAATTTTTTCAAGCCTTTCTATCTTTTTTCATTCGTTCGCTTTGTGTTGCTACAATTTGCATTGCATGCATGTCGGAAATGAGGAGGTGTCGAGCATATTATATCAGGCAAATTTTGTTATTTTATTTTATTTCAATCATCTTATTTTGCACTCGAAAAATGTTACGTTTTTTTTTCAAAAGTAGAAAAAAAATTTAAAAATGAGAAAAAAATGAAATCTGATTCTTGCCTTGTTTACTCTTTCCTTACTCGAATAATGGTAATGCCTTCTTTCCATCATCTAAAAAGCAAATGATTTTAATGGATTTTAATTTTTTGTTTTTGAAAACTTTCAATTTTGAATTTCTAAGGTAAAAAAAATTATTATTCTAATTTGTTTTTGGTTTGGTGTAGACTACGGTTAAGCATGAAGATAACTCGCAAATATTAGTGCTGATATAATATACTTTATGCAGTCAAATATTCATAAAATCTCTAATTATTCACAATTGAAGATGAATTTATAATTTTGACTTGAATTTCAATTCAAATTTTAAGTAAATATTTCGATAAACTTTTGATTATTTTTGCTGATTTATAAGTTTTGATAAGTTGGTTGAAAATTTAAATTTTCTAATAATTTATGAAACGACACTTTTTTATCTATGATTATTGAATGATTTAATGATGATTTAAGATGATTAAGTCTTTCAAAAGACTAGTCACCAAAGAATCGAATGTTAGAAAGGAAATTATTAGGATTAGGAATTGGGGATTAGTTTGTTGAATTCTAACTAGCTCAATCTTCAACCAGGAATTAGGATTTGATCAAATCTCTTCGAATTCTTTCATTTGACCTATCAAACTTAGTTTCAAATTTACTTTAAATCTAAGTGTTGAATTGACGACATCCATTCTTATAACAATCATATTTGTCACATTTTCTAATTTTAAAGGTTCCCAGAAATTAAAATCCTCGACATTTTAAACAATTTTACGCCTTCAAAGTCTTCAATAAATAATTCTAAATTGTTATTACACAAGACAGTAATTAATTGTTCCACCTGGATTTTCCTCATTATTCTGCAATTACCATAATTCTAATGACAGCCTTAATTTTCCAGAAAATCACCTCGAACTCCATTTTTTCAAGAAAATTCTTAAACATAAATTTACATGAATTGTTCAACAGATTAGGAAAAAGTTCGCAATTTTTTAAATCCCACTGCCAAGTCGCATGAAAAATTTTTGTAAAACTATACACAAAGTCTACTTCCTCATACGCTAATTTACTTAACGACGTATTAAATTGCTTTTTTCCTAGAAGGAAAAATATTTTTTTTGCTTGACTTTCAGGCACAAAGGAAAAACTTTTTTTACCACCTCTTTCCATACCATTTGCGTTTACGGCATGGATGAATATACAATGTATAATTAAAGACAACAATAATTTCATGCCGCCATTAAAGAGTTTTATATTTTTTGCATATCTGACTGTTCTACTTTCGTTTCGACGTCCATTTAGCACAAGAAATAAAAACGAAAGCTTATATTTGAGAATTTATGGCCCGCGCAAGGTTTCTATAATGTATACAGTACAGATATCTAAGAGCCATAAAATGAAGGAAACAAATTTCGTTAATTGCTGTGAAAAAAGTAAGGCATTTGTAGATGAAGAAGTATTTTAAGCGGCTTGCATGAAAAAAAACACAAGTTCTGGGGGGTTGTTCAAAAATGATGTCTAAAGCTATCCTGATTTTTCTGATTTCTCAAGAACTGGATGAATCTGAGATGGAATCTAGAGACCAACTCTTTCTTTCCAAAAAATCAACAATGTCTACAAAAATCATTAAAAAGTCTAGACATCATGTTCAAACAACCCCCAACCTTCTTTTTTTCTCATATTCTTCCGACTTACTGTTAAAGATTAATAAGTGCCTTTGCGACATTTTCTGTTGGCATTTTTAAAATGAAATGAGAACAGAAACACGGAGACAGAAAGGTGGGTAAAGCGTAATTTTTTATGATCAACTTTCATGTCCTAACATTTTGCCATATGTTGCCGTTTTCTACTTCTTTGCGCTGATTTTGAGGATGAAGGGGTTTGGTGGAATTATTGTGGCAGATTGTGTCAAGGTTTGAAGAGATTTGAGTTGGATTTTGATGGATTTAGAGGGTTTTGATGAGACATCGAGGTATTAATCTTTTAGGATTGGGACATAGCAGTGACTTGAAAAATAAAGAAGCTTCGGAGCTTTGATTCTAAGTTTTAGCATCAAAACCTCTGTTTTGCCACTAATATAAAGTCTTGAGCCAGTATTTCTTTTGTCAAATTTCAGAGATTAAATACAAAGTGCAGGTTCGATTCCCACCAAACCTGACTATATCTCTAAAATTTCTGTAAATGACACAATCCCTCCTCAAAAATGCTTCAAATCGACCATCTCATAACAATTCCACCACTTTTCCCAGTCTTGAAACATCCATTTTCATTTTCGTGCCTTTTTTCCTATCGCTGCACATCACACAGCACGTCAGACAACAGTGTCAGAAAGAGTGAATATAATTTTTAACATAAACACGAAGTGAAAGAAAGGGGAAAACAGCAAGAAGACACAAGAAAGATGCGGATGTGTCCCCAGTTAAGTTGGCATCGGTCAAAAGCACATTCTGCATAGAATATTAATCAGTTTTTTGGTTTAAAAAAAGCCGAGGCATAAAAAATATGTAATATAATTCTTTGGGGAGATTGTTTGCGCTTTTGTAAGGATTTTGTTGTTGTTGTTTTTGTTATTCAGTTTTGGTTTTCTTATTATCTTATTATTTAAATGTCTGTGCTGTTTTTACAGTCTCTACACCCTTCTTAGCATTAAAGTCTTAAAGAATTTTCCTTAATGTAGGCAATATGAATGAAAAAGAAAAGAAGTAAATTATTGAAAATGATATTAAAGTTAGACTTGTGCTGTTTGTAGGCAGAAGTTCAGGCAATTTGGATTAATAATGCATTAAGCATATGGGATTAAAAACTAAAGGAGTTTGAAGGTTTTTGTAGACTTTTTGTTTTAAAAATTGCAAATTTTGAGTATTTTACTCAACAGATTGCTGCTTTAAAGTCTGCAATATATAGCATATGCTTGATAATTATCAATCTTTTAAGCATCTACAGCCCCAACTCCCTTAAAAATATTCTCTATAAATTCATCAACAAAACCAAACAATCCGACAAATTGCTGCACACAACAACTCCTCAAATTCACCAGCAACACCAAGCAATTTGTTCCTTTAAACTTTTTTCAAGACACAAATCCCCATAAGCCAGCATAAAACATTTCCCATAAAAACCAAATGTAATCAAATAATCACTTTAAATTCAACATGAAAAATTTCATCTTGATCTCTTTATTAACTTAATGTCTCATCGCATGTCATCTCGTCTTGTCTTATTTATTGATTCATGTGACACAACATCAACGACACCAAACGAGGCGAGAAAGACAGAAGAAAAAAAAATCTTAATGCAAGTCTCATCCATTTCATATTCTTTCATCATACATATTTCATTAAGAATTGAGGAACAGAGGGAAGAAGGGACAGAAGAACAATGAGAAGAATAAATAAAATAATAAAATATATGTGATGACAAAACAACCAAATAAGAGAAAATGAATGGATTTTATGAGGCAGTTGATTGTGGGTTTTGTGGTTTTAGCGCATTTTATAAGCGAGAAGATTTTTGGGCAATAGAGATAATTTGAAGGTCCATTTAAACAACTTTGAAGTTACAATTCAGAATATGATTGAAAAATCTTTATCTGCTGCTCCTTTTTGGATCTTTTGAATGGATTAGTATAGTCTAAGCTACCTTGAATTGTGTATGTTCATGTCATTGAAGGACATTGAAGGGCAATGTTCATTTTAAAATTTGGCATGTGGACGTCCCAAGAACTCTTGGAGAGAAGCTTTTGACAGAGACAGTATTATACTTGGTAATGGTAATTGGCAAGCGGTAGCCAGCGATAGAGCCAGCTTCAGGCGCCATCTAAGGGAAGACATGGATCACAATTAATCTGTGCGGCCAGAGAAGTAAGTAAGCAAGTAAAATCTCAACTATAAAACCCAAAATTCCCAAAAACCAAAAGACAATCTGACCTTAATCACCCCTAAATCCTCATCATCCCCACAAAAATACGCTAAAAATGAATAAAGAGAAAAAAACTTTCATATTCGTTCATCTCTTTTTTTCTGATGATTTATGATGTGCGTAAAGAATACTCTTCAGCAAAAAAAAAATATGAATGACGATTTGATGTCAACGTGTAAACATACATTATGCTCTTATTCTCTTGTTCCATATACATTTTCTTTTATTTACTATACGATAGAATACTGAATGAATATGATGCATTGACTAAGAGCTAAAGTTTCTTGTGTGTGGATAATATATTAAAAAAAGCCAGGAAATGTTTCCTTTTTAAGGAATATGAAATTTGCGTGAAGATTTATGCGTCCCAATGAGAAGTTTAATAGATAAAAACAAAAAGATAAAGAGATGAATAAAAAAAATTATGAATTATATTAAATTGAAAATGTGCTGGTGGTGCAAAACAGTAATCATAAATATATGTAGCATATTGCTCATCATTTTTGAATAACAGATCAGGCAATAAATTGATACACAAAGGCTTTGCCATGCTCCATTATCATAAAATATATTTATTGTTGTGAGCTAGCTTTTAAAGCTGTTGTGGTTTAAAATCTTCAATTTTAAGATTTTTTAGAATGTAGAAAATTTGAGGTAAGGATGAAAATTCTCTTAAGGTATGCAAAGTTGTCTGCAATTTAAATAAAATTAAATTGAATTCCAAAAGTCCCCAAAGGTTATTTCATTTAAGGATATTGAGACTCATTTGAATTCCATTTAAATTCTCTAGATTCATTTTTAAGGACTTTGAATTCATTCATTCAAAATCTTTTTATAAAATGAAAGAATCTTGATTGTAAGTTCGAGAAATTGATTTGACAAAGCAGTTTAGGTACAACGGAGTCGTCCCTAATAAGAGCAACCTTAATATTAACTTTATTTTAGCACAAGAAGTTCATTTGGACTTGATTTTTGCAGATTCTCAAGAACAATACCAAATTCTAAGATTTTGAACTATCTCGGAACGACTCATGCCATTAGAAAGTCTTAACCAAAGATGTGGAGCTGAATTCTTAAGTTTTGGTCGTTTTTGACCAGTCTTAGCATGTTTGAGAATTTTTTGACAGTTTTCATCAACTTGATCAGTTTCATATCCTTGA